TTAGTGAACTCTTGGAATGGTGTACAGTTGGGCCACTGAGATAGCATATTTTAGCCCAGTTTGAGTGTCCATTCCTATCTATTCTAGTTTGGAATACAGCTTTAGCCTCGCATGTGGACATAGTGTCTTAATGCCTGGTGGACCTTCACTGATATTTCAGTAGAACGTGTGATCAAATGATGATTGGTTGAGGAGCGGTTTGTGTCTGTATATCAGACGTTGTCTGTTATTTTAAGGGTTTCTTGAGTAACAGCTGTCTTGTATGTAAGTCATGGAAGTTTTCCTGGAATTTGTCCTGGAAAAGCATTTCCTGAAAACCACAGGAACCCTGGTCCATTCCTGGGGCGTTTTTTGAGGTATGCTATGGTTCATTATCCTGCTGGAGGACCCATGACCAGTATGGAAAGTGGTCTATTAATAAAGATCATTATTATTATTATTATCATTATTATTATTATAACTATTATTATGAGATACAGTTTTCTGACACTAGGCTGTTCGTTTCACTCCAAGAGATCTTGATAATCTTCTCGTTACATCATGCCTTGCACATTTCAAGGTGTTATTTTCTTTATTTTCTTTTTTTCTGTTTTTTTCTCCTGTTTCGTCTGGACATTTTGTGGCTTTTTAACATGCATTTTGGCTCCAGTTAGGCTTTTCTGTGCTTCTCTCCCAGAAGGAGAATCAACCATTGAGCTCATTGTCATTTAGACAGTAATGAATGGTGCATCTTGAAACGGTTGTACTTTGAGCTTGATGGTCATTTTTGCTCTTGGGACCACGTCTAAGAACGTTGGCTATGACCACTGGGCCTTAGATACCCCTACCTTGTTGGTACACCCTGCAGTGTTGCCAGATTCAGCAGTTTCCCACCAAATTGGGTTGATTTTTGTTGGGGATAAAAAGTGCTTTGGTGGGTGAACAAAACTATATATTTTTATATATTTATAAAACTATATATTTTTACAAATTATACAAATAAATTCTGATAAATTATAATAATGCAGCTGAAATTTGAATAGGCCTAATGTCTCCCCACATACAATCAGTTATCAAAACCAATTGACATACCCTTTTGGTCACTTTGGTTGCCTCCTCTCAACAGGTAAGCAAGTTTTAAAAAATGTGTATAAGAAATAGTTAAGCTTGCATATTATTAATAATGAATTAATAATTGCATGGGCTCAAAGATCCTATTAGTTACAATGCATTTAAAAAAAAAAGTGAATACCTTCAAAGCATCATTTTTGTGCAAGCTCTGCAATTCATGAAAATAAGATACACAAAAATCAGTTATTTTATTGAAATTATTTATAGTTTCTTTGTAAAGATGTTTCTCTGATGTTTGACAGAGCTTGCAAAAATTACAAATAAATCTTTTAGTTCTTCATAACAGTGAAAAAAAAAAAGGTTTAAAAGACCAGCAGTGCCTTCTAGCAACAACTGAAATGCTTATCTGTACATTTGCAAAGACTTCATCTGGTAATGTGCCGAGAAGCTTATTATTAATCTTGGTTAAATGCTGTATTATTTAGTATTATTGTTTAAATAACTGTAGGCTGGTTTTGATGGATACTTTTTGGGTTTTTAACAGTTCATTGGCTGGAAACTATAGAACCCTCACAGCCCTGACCTCCTGAAGGTCTACAGTTATAAACAAGCAGCCCAACTATTTCCATTAATAATTTGTTATTGTCTAGTCCTTTATTAATGGTAGTTTTGTGACCACATGACCCTGTTGCACCATTTTTGTTTGCCTACACTGAGATTGAAAGAACCATGCAACACTGTTGTGCCTTATACATACAGCATGAAACTACCATATCATTTTGCATTACAGTAGTAGTTGTTTAGTAGAGTCGTTTATGACAAACTGACATACATTTGCGACTTCTGCTCTCATGGTTGAAAAGACATTTTCGGAATTACCCCTCCTCACCTCACCACAGTGGTTTGTCGCTCGCTAGAGTTATTTCCAATACTGAACGTCACTACTTGGTCTTCACACTGTTAGATATTAAGGTTCTGTGCAGGTTCGTTTTTCGTTAATCAAGATACAAACAATGTAAATGTTCCCTCAAAGGTACAACAGTAGTTTTAAGGCCCAAATTGTAAACCTTAAATAAGTTTTTCCAGGTGAAAAGTACATATTTGTACCTTTTCATAACCGAATGTTTTAAAACAGAACAATAAAATAAAAAGCCTGGAGACGAGACGGGGTGCGTGAAGTATATTACTTAATGTGCTTTCCCTGCTCACTGTCTCACTGTGGTTTGTTGGTATCTGGAAATGTAAAGATTGAATGAATGCTGGTAGAATGAAGTCCATAAAAGGCAGCGTGCTGAGACACAGACACGCAACATGTTTGAAATCTGTTGATTCTTATCTTTTGAAAGTTTCTAAGGGTTTGCCAACCTGTGCAGATTGCAGGGTTTGTCTATTGTATCTCCACACATCTAATCTGCAGGCTTGTTCAGGAAGTAGTTGAGCATTTTGGTTGCTTATTAAATGGGGTGACTATACTTCAATACTTCAAGCATAAAATGCAACCAAGCTAGAACTTTTTTCATGAGGTGGCCAGGTAAGAGATTTTACAGGGGTGGCACAATGCTAGGAAAAAAAGTGTTACTATGTGAAAATGACATAAAAAGTGATGTGTTGTTTTTTCTCTGTACATAATTAAATCCGTACATCATTTCCGCATGAATAAAGTATTACATCAAGATAACTATTGCCAAAAGTAAACTGAAAGACTAAACTGTTGATGTATTTTAGTCTTTCATGGGGAAATGATGTGTTTGAATCAAGTAAATTAAAGTAAATCTACAGATGACCAGACAGGCCATGAGCTGTTGCTATAATTTCTGGATTGTTATCTTGTGATAACAAGATAAGTAACTTGTTATTTCAAGACAATAATTTTGTTATCTTGAGATAACAAATAAGTAACTTGTTATTTCAAGATAACTTTTATTATCTTGAAAGAACAAGATAATTAAGTCATTATCTCAAGATAACAACTTTGTTATCTTTGTTAAGATAACTTTGTTAAGATAACAACTTTGTTATCTTGAGATCACAAGATAATTAACTTGTTATCTCAGCATAACAACATTTGTTATCTCAAGACAACAAGATAAGTAACTTGTTATCTCAAAATAACAATCCAGAAAATTATAACTACCTAATGGCCTCTCTGGACTTCCGTATAAATCATATTTTTAAGAAAAACATTTCATATAGACAGGCCATATTAGTTATTAATACAGGCTGCCCTCACTACGGGTTATTAATGAGTGTAATGATTAGAAAGCTAGCCACACAGCACTCAACAGGTAAGGCTAAGATTTCACTGAGGTGGCACAACAAATGCATATATTCAACAAATTAGTTATGTTAACGACTAAAACTGACTAATATGTGATAGTTAACTCATCTTGCTGCTGTTTAGCTTCATAATCATAATGTAGCTCACAGAGCAGCGCTGCTGAAGAGACCCAGAGCACATTCACTCACATCTTAACTCACATCTTAACGACTCTTAAAACTGACCCATAACTACCCTGACAGCAGATTTTATACCCTAAAGCACATTTGGTGCTTTATTAATAATGGCTGACTTCAGGATGGCTTACTGTCTCACTGCCCATAACTGGGGAGGCCAGAAGGGTAGCCTTGCTTCATTCTTGTAGTGCGCTGGTCACCCATGGCCACCCCTTGGCTACGCCTCTGCAACCAACTTCTGACTGACTTGCAACCAAAGACTGAACTGAACGGAAAAATGTCACACCTCCAAACTGAAAGCAAGTCTCCTGAAAAGAACGGAAGCTGTAATAAAGGTAAAGAGTGGAAACAATAAATACTGAACAAAAATTATATTTGTTGAGTTGTTGAGGCTTTTGTATGATTTTCTGTTAAATATATGTTTTCTCTTTTTTCTCTGACACTGAAAAAACTGTAACTTGTGGCTGTTTTGACTGAATATTAAATGAATGCAGCTTGGTCTCTGACTTGTGCACAGAACTGTATGTAACCAACAAGCATTATTTTCATTGTATGATAAGTTAATAATATTAAATGTGAAAAAGTCAAAAACTGTGATGAATTATTTCTCAACTATTTTAGTAATCTTAAAATATTTGTTTTGAATGTATGCCAGTCTACCCTTATAAGCAGGGAACTGTAAAGGATGCGGTTCTTCGTATTATAGAATCATAGGTCCCAACAGGGGTCCTGCAGCACACTTTGCATGTTCTATTATTCTTCCTTTTCTAACACAGTTGATTAAACTAATAAGCTAATTAACAAACATTATAAACCTTTAGAAGTGTGGGTATTAGAGCAGCGATACTCTGGGATCAGGGTGGGAGAACTCACATCATCATACAATAGAATACTTTTACAGAGGTGAGGTAACTTGGTGGAAGAAGCCACCCCAGACCTTTTTATTCTGAATGAATGAAGGGGGCCAAATTTAGTCCCAACACTTCTGAATGGCTGTGGTCTAATTAATTCTGAACTGTCATCTAGATCACTGCGTTCCTCAGATTTATTCCCTCTGAAACTTTAGGGGTTAGCTGATCTCAGTTTTTGTCCTCTGATTATATTATTTATTTTAGTTGGTGAGGTTTAGAAAGGAAAATAAAGGTATTTTAACATATATTTTTATTTTGAAGTGAAATGTAAAGTTTGACCTTAGGGATAAGAATTCCTCCCAGACAAGGAGCAAAATTGTTTTTGAATTCTCCTGTAAAATTATCATTTTGAAGATTTTGTAGTCGTTTTTTTTTTTTACATTTTCACAATTTAAATGTTTGTTTATTATTCTCATTTGTCCCGGCTTATTCAAAAGGTATCTTTATATAAGTGGAATCAAGATGCCCCTTTACAACATTTCGTTTTTGTGCTATAAAAACAAACCAGACTGCTGTTCTATTTTTTTCCCTCTAACTGTGCGTAAAATTATAAATCACTGTCCTGTTCATGCTAAACTCTTACAGAGATATGGAGGTGGGGGTATTTTCCCACCTCCATATCTCTGTAAGAGATCTGTGTCAGTGATGTTGTCCCCACATACAACATGTTTTAAAATACTGGTCAAAAAAAAGTAAGTCATTTCTCTTTTGTGTACAGGAGGCGCAGTACAATGAAAGTGAACAACTCCTCCTGTGGCTTCGAAGCCCAAAAGCAGCTGCTACCTTTTATGTACAGTGTGGAGCTGTGTGTGGCTCTCCTGGGGAACATATTCGCCCTGTGGATGCTGGTGACGAGGGAGAAGAGAAACTGGCACACAGGAGTGGTGTTCTCCTGCAACCTGGCCATCAGCGACATCCTCTATGTCTTGACCTTCCCTCTTCTTATCCTCACCTATTTAAACGACAAAAAGTGGGACTTCACTGAACCTGTCTGCAAAATTGAACGTTTTCTCTTCGCCTGCAACCTGTACGTCAGCATCTATTTTATCATGTGCATCAGTGTCAACAGGTACCTGGCCATCGTCCACCCCTTTTTCACACGCAAACATGTGCATCCGAAACACGCCAAGATCGTCAGCGTGCTGGTCTGGATCACTGTGGCCATCCTCTCGAGCCCAATCCTCAAGTATGCAGCCATCGAAAAAGAACGGTGCAGGTCATTCTCAGGCAATGCAAAGGGGTACAAGCGTGGCTACAGGATCTTTATGGCTGTTGTCGGCTGCCTTGTTCCATTTGTGGTCACATTCATGTCCTATTTTGGCGTGATATGGGCAGTTTTAAAAAATGCCAACATCACCACACTGGAGAAGAAAAAAGTGGCCCTGATTGTGGCTACAGTCTGCATCATCTATGCCATGTCCTTTGTGCCCTACCACATTCTGCAAATATGGCACTTTCATCTGAAGGAGAAAACAGAACGTGACTGTAGGGTGCAGAACGCATACCAAGTGTCAAAAGGACTGGCAGGTGTTAACATGTGTGTTCACCCCATCCTCTATATGGCCATGTTTGATAGTATCAGGACAGTTTGCTGTAGAAGGAGCTCCAATAAATAGGTTTCCTACATATTTTCTGAAATGCAGGCCTAGCAGTACAGCTAGCACTCTGTGGTATTCAGCTCAGATTTACAGTCATATGGAAAAAAAATACATGTTTTGTTGAAAAAAAGACTTTAGTGCATAATTTCTATTTATTGGCTGAGTTTAACATAATGGACAAAAAATAAAACATGAAATATAAAATGTACCATAACTTTTGCACAGGCCACATTTATGTTTTTTTCCCCTCAATATTTTAAATTCAGGAAATAAACAGTGATTGTGTAAGAAGTTTTTAGCTTTAGCATACGTCTGTACCTTTGAATGGTCCTACCTTAATTGTCATGGTCCTCTGGTCTTATTTAAGCAAGATTTTAATGTGGAAAAATACTGTGTAAATAAAATGTAACTGTCATTTTCTGTTTTATAATACCTTTCCTATGACTATGTTTCTATTCAAATTTCATATTAGTTAATTAGTTAATTAATTAATGTCATTTTAGCCTGTGCTCTTTGATGAGTACAAACTCACAGGAAGCAGGATCTCCTACTTTACACTTAGTTCTGTTGTTCTTGTGTCATTGTTACTCGGTCAATTATTTACCATTTCTTCAATAAATTGATAAATATTTTTGTATCTTACACATTTCATTGTATTTTTTCACTGAGGTCCATTTTTCATTTTTGTGTGGTTTCATGTGTCATAGTTAACTTTTACATGACCATTTTCTAACCTCTCTTGATTCCTTAGAATTAAATAGGAGGTTTTTGTTGCTGTGCCTTAAAGACTGATATATGTAAATGACCTCTATTCTGATTAATTGGACTGTATTCAAAAAGTAATCCAGGCTGAAACAATGCTTATAACTTTAGCATGAAGGGATGGGGCTAAACTGCTGAGGGCTGAATAGGTGGCTATTTCTAAATGTGCTAGTTTTCTAAAACAGTGACTATGGGCTGAAGATGAATGGCAAGTTTTGACACCTCTACAGTCAGAACGTTAACCCGTACTATATCAAACTCGTATTGCAACAAAGCAAGGAAAAGTTGGTTTTCCGTAGGCCTGAAATTTTAGCTGTCGATGAATTACTATATAAATACTTGCGATTGAGAGTTCAATCTCAACAGAAACAACCTGAGCGCAAATAAACAAACGTTACTCACCGCCGCCCTCTAAAGATGTTATTACCAAACATCAAATAAACAAACATTACTCACCACCGCGACCTGTCCAGGGTGTATCTTGCCTTCCACCCAATGACACTGGGATAGGCTCCAGCACCCCCCCGTGACCCAGAGGAATAAACAATCTAGAAAATGTGTGTGTTGAAAAGCAATCACTACAGTGGAGAAACGTGAAATGCAATGCACACATGACATTACTTTTCCATAGTGTCATGCAGAATACATGCCAAAGTGAAAAACAAACCCTCTATTGCACTGTTTTCATGTCACTTTATCTCTTTACTGAAAAACAATGCATGAGGATTTGCGTGTTGAAAACAAAATGCTGAATTCATATCAGAATTCAGTACAGCCCAAAAGTGGAAACAGTGAAATGCAATGCATGCATGTATTTTGGCACCAAAGGTGACATGCAGAATATGTGCCAAAATGAAAAGCAAAACCTCTATTTCACTGTTTTCATGTCACTTGACCTCTTTTCTGTACTTCAGTTGTATTTGCCTCATTAAAATGGAAACAGTGAAATGCAATACACATATAAGATCACAATTAAACAGTAACATGCAGAAAAGGTGAAAAGTAAAAGATTCATTACATTGATTTAATGTTGTTTTAAATACTTCGTGGTGGAAAGACATATAGCTGTGTCTTTGTTACATTTTAAGGCAGATTATATTCAATTCTGATATTAATTCAGCATTTTGTTTTTCTAATGCAAACCCTCATGCATTATTCTTTAGTTAAGCAGTCAAGTGATGTGAAAACAACATAACAGAGAGTTTTAATGCCATGTGTGCATTGTGTTTCATGTTTTTCCACTGTAGTGACTGCTTGTCACTTTGGCATGAATTTGTCTCCATAGGTTTTCCATGATATGAGTTCTTTAACAAAGCAATAAGCCACAAGAGGCCTTGCATTACTATGATTTTATCATGGGAAGGGTGTTCTTAGGCATGAAATGAAGTGCCTAAATGTCCCTTCCCTGTGATAAAATTGCAGTAACGCACAGCCTCAAGTGGCTGATTGCTTTTACAGAACGGCGGCAAACACAAAATATGATGAAATACACATTTTTTTGTTTTAGAAAATAATTTATCATTAATAATAATTGACCTAAACAACCTCTACAATATGGTATCGTTGTCCAGCAACCATGGACCGCTGATATATTGCAGTCATTTCATGATTTTTAAACTTTTTGTCATATAACAATGCTTTATAAGTACTCTTTTGTCACCAAATTACTACCAGTCTTATTTAGCATCAGTTTAGCAGTGCCCCTCTTTTCATGCTGGGGCGGAATCTCAAACGGCTCCCTGCTCCCTATGTAGTTCACTAGCTATGTAGTAATTTAAATACTAGATCCTGCAGCCCAACGGTGCAAAATATAGTTAAGAAATAGTCATTTTCACTGTGCCACATCCATACTCAATATATGATGCACTATTTAGCTGTAGAGGCTATAATTTCTAGAGGCTATAGTAGCTAGCACACTATTTAGCTACAGAGTACAGAGCCGTTTGGGATTCAGTCTGAGTTTGACACAACTTCTGACTAAAACATGAATGAAGCGTGTGATCCATTCAAGTGACAATTTTTTAGACTTTCATACTGCCGTTTTACAGTTAATCATACCGTAAGTACTGTAGGAGTTGGATCTCTGCGTGCCGGGTGACGGGCAGAAGTGACAGCAGGAAACAGCCACTTCACCGCCACTTTTATTAGCGACCGCCACTGCATAGCCACCTCACCGCCACCTCACCGCCACTCCACCTCCACTTTAATTAGCGACTGCCACTGCGCAGCCAGAGCAGTGGCAGTGAAGTGGCGGTGGAATCGTGGTCGCTAATAAAAGTGACGGTGGGGTGACGGAGAAGTGGAGGACCAGTGCCAGTGAAGTGGAGGTGGCTAATAATGTGACGGTGGAGTGACAGAGAAGTGGCGTTGAAGTGGCAGTAGGCTGACGGTCACTAATAAAAGTGGTGGTGAAATGGCAGAGCAGTGGTGTTGAAGTGGTGGTCACCAATAAAAGTGATGATGAAGTGATGGAGCAGTGGCGGTCACTAACAAAACTGGCGGTGAAGTGGCGGTCACTAATAAAAGTGGCGGTGAAGTGGCGATCACTACTAAAAGTGGTGGTGAAGTGACGGAGCAGTGGCGGTAAAGTGGCAGTCACAAAGTGACGGTAAAGTGGCTGTTTCATGCCATCACAAGAGCCGCCACTTCCGCCTGTCACCCGGCATGCAGAGATCCAACCCCCTCTCCGTAACTACTTTTATTCAAGCCTGTGATATTAATAATGGAGTTGTTTAGGCTGTTGTCTATCTTTTAGCCTGTTAGCTAGCTGACCAGCCTGTTTCCAGTTAAGAACAGAAGTTGCCAGCCCCTCAATTTAAGCAAAAAACGGGCTCTCACTTCGTTAATATACTCGGTGGTCCATGCAAGCAGCATGAGAGTCAAAGATTATTCCATTTACAGCGCAAGGGTCTTTTTGTGCCGTGGCTTAGTAAGTTAATAAACAATTCAGTTATTATGAGGCAGTCATAGTTGTGCATATAGCGTAGATTTTACAACGGCTTCCAATGTGACTCAACCAATCAGATTTGAGGACCGGAACTATCCGTATTTTAATAGGCCTTTAATGCTTATATTGTATGCCAGTCCATCCTTTTAAGCTGGGAATGTATAAATGCTGACTTATGAATGACATATATCTATAACATATATATAAGCCGCCAATAATGCCATTTATTTTGCCATGGTTGATACTAGTTCCATTAGCTCAGTTCCGTGGGCTTTAGTAAAATTTCCATGAAGTATCCTTAGATGACAGTGGTCTTTACTGAGTTGTCAGTGTATTAGCTGGAAAAGTGTAGTTGTAAGGACAGAAACCCACTTCTTATTCAGTTCTGTTTCAGTTCTTGACATTTAGTTTCAACTTCCTTTTTGTGTTTAATTTAATTCTGTTGGTTACAGCAACAGAGCTGCTTTGCTGTTGCTCACATCTCTCATTTACAAGCTTTAGCATTTCATTGTAGAAAATAAGTTCAAACTTCAGATATTAGAATTTGAAAAAAATGTCATTTTCAATCACTATATTTTAGCTTAAACCAGTGATGGCTGGTCATAACATCGACTCACACACTGCAGCATTCCAGCTACAATGGAAGTCTGTTAATGAGCTAGCTACTGGTCGCTTTTAATTGTTTGAGTTTCATTAGCTAACGCCTATAGCGAGCTAGCAGAGCAATTGCAGCAAACTTCACAGCAGTTTTGGGCTTTCTGTCCACTACAACATCAGCAGGATGGGATTTAAGTTCAAATCAGTACTGAAGGACTCGGTAAAACAGCAATATAAAAAGTAAAAATATACCTTACCTCAGTGTCTGTTCCAAGCAGATAGAAGCTTCAAATGTCCATGTAGCTCACAGCTGCTATTAGCTTATCAGTTTCCACGGTTACAGACTGGCCAGCTTCTAGTGGTAAACAGAACTGAACTTACAAGAAAGTTTGGTAACACTTTCTATGAATGTCACCTTTGTAAGCATCTATGAACACATTTATAACATGTTATAATGTATTCATAAGGCATTATAAACATGGTTATAAATATTTATAAAAAAGAATCACACGGAATTACACTTTATAGCCATGTTTATTATACATTATGAATTGTTAATATAATGCATTATAAACAGTGTTAATAACATGTTATAATGTCAGTGCCAAAGAAGTCAGTCCCAGCTTGGAGAGCGTAAAGTAAAAAAAAATGCCAAGCTAACGGTGGTGTACATTACCTTTCCCACATTGGGTAAAACACTGATGGCAGCACTAGTTTAAACTCTGACATTTGAAGCCTGTAATGTGCTTTATTGTGAATGTTTTAGTGTTTCAGTAAATCCTTCAGTAAATACTTCAACTTGAAGCCTCACTCTTAACACTGGAGGAGGCTTTAGTACAGTACGCTTCACTTTACTTAGAGCAGACAAATACGACTTATGAGCTCTTATACTTTGTTATGATCAGTACTTATAATGTATTATGTTAACAATTCATAATGTATAATAAACATGGCTATAATATATAATGCAGTTTTATAAATATTTATAGCTATGTTTATAATGTCTTATGAATGCATTATAACATGTTATGAATGTGTTTATAGATGCTTACGAAGGTGACATTCATAGAAAGTGTTACCGAAAGTTTTTTTTTCTTCACAAATATGCAATAGCGCTACCGAATTCACAGCCATGATAACATTTTGTATGCTAGCTAGCAGCAGCAAGATTAGCATAGATCACTTGCATTCATTTTTACTCTACAGCTCAAAGATTTAATTGCTATACACTTCAAATTCATAGATACCAAAATTATAGACAGCTAAAGAAAAATACATTAAATCTAAAAGGTACATTTCATAAATCAGAATCATTGTTTGTATTGTTTCAGAAGGGAAGTGAGCCCACTTTTTTCTCAGGCCTCAAATATATCATCACTCTGCTGGTCACCTACAGTCAATACAACAAATGTAATTCAAAAATCTAAAAATGTGCAATATTTTAAACAGCTAGAAAAATATGCTTTAAGCAGCAGTCACACCATCATACTGACACATACAGTCTTTAAGCCGAATGCAAAAGTTTAGGTGCCCCTGGTCAAATAACATGTTTTGTTGATTTTCTAAGTGAAACTAACTCATCCTCCACAGAGAACACACTTCTCCACTTTCTAAAAGGGACCTAACCTGCTCATTTTTTTTAAAGTTCATAATTTTATGTTTGGGGTGTACTAGATTATATTTACATGTTTCAGTTTTCCCAAAACACATTATTTTTCTCATACTGTACATCTCTATTATCAACCTGTGTCTGAAATGCTCCATTAGAGCTCCTCTGTCCCCATCCCCACCCCAGTAAGCCCAGTGTGCTCTGGTTGGTCAGTTTGCCCGCTCTGTTTCACCAGAAGTTAACAAGCTGGTCACCTGATCCACCTTCGCAGTCTAGACTGGAGCAGGACGTTTCTGAGTGGTAACTTTTTACTTCATAGCTTCTTGTGTGAGTGCGTGCCAAACTTGCTGGTAGGCGGACAGTAAGGATTGTGTTACAAGATGATGTCACCTTGTAACAAAGGAAAAGGGCTGGAATTCCAATGAGGCATTTCAGGCAGCCGAGAAAACTGATTAGAAAAAGTTGCATAACACGCTAAAGGAAAGGGAATTTATTTAACATATTGGGGGAAAAAAATGTAACATAAAATGAGGCCTGTGCAAAAGTTATACCACATTTTCCAATGTGTTGAACTAAACAAATAAATAGAAACTGTACACTAAAATTACATTAAAATGCAGTGCTTAATTGTGTTCTCTGTAGAGGATGTGGTGACTTATTTATCTGGGAAAATCGTCTAAACATTTCATTTGACTGGGGATGTATGCACTCATGAGAAACCACAAGCATTAAAATGTCCACACAGTTCAGAGATGACATGACTGATAAGAGTCATCACTTCCTGTTATGTTCTGCCTGTGTGTCAGGTAGGGGCTCTAAGATGGAAAAGGAAAAAAAAATGCAGCACAACAAACTAAAGTCCCCATGCTGACAGAAGCTGAATGTACTAAAATTTTTTTATATGAATCACAGTACTTGAGATTCATCCTGTGAAAACTTTTTAAACTTTGTCTCAAGCTGTTCTTTGGAAGCTGCCTTTGCCTCTACTGGAGTGATTAATTTCCTGCAAGAAACAACTAGAGACGACACAATTCTGATATATATATATCACTTTTTTGGATGATTTGGTCGTTTTTGTTTTGTTTTTTTTTCTATGCTACTTTTTTTTTTTTACTTGAATCATCAAATCAAATCAAATCACGTTTATTATCACATCTCATTTAAACATACATATTACTACATATATATTCCAGATCATACAAGATATAGATGGAGGATGTACAAGATGTCAATCTACATGTGCAGGTATAGATGTGCTAGAAGTTACAGTGGAAAGATCGGAGTGAGTCTGTTTGAGTCTGCTTATGTTTGATAATGGCTTTGTGGCATAATAATGACTTATTGTCATGAAAACCTGACTTAATATATAAATATCTCGAAATAATGCCATTTTCTGGAAATTCTACCCTGAAAAAATGACTTATTTTCTTGATATATACTGTGTCAAAAAATGAGTTATTAAAAATAAGCAATTATTTTGGGAAAGTCATTATTACAAGATATTACATTATTACTTGCCACACCCCCAGAAGAACACAGTAAATCGTTATTGCAACAAAGTGAGTCAATATTTTGAGAAAATAAGTCATTATTCTAACACAGCAGATATTTATCACATTTTTTACTTTTTTTGCCAGAAAACTTTTTTCTCCTCTATTTGGCAGGAATAGACTCCCTTAGCAGTTAATGGGGAATTCCACCAATGTTTCAAAATTGCTGCATAATTCAATGGTTGTGTAAACAAAGTCAGTCAGAGTGGTTTGGTGTAAAATGCTTTGTTCTAGAGAAACTTGCCAAGTCAGAACTGTTTACAGTGGTGGTGATAGGAACCAGACATCTGAGGCGTTAAATGTCTTTTAAAGCTACACTACAGTAAGTTATTATATGAAATGGTTATGAACATACTGCCTGCTGTCTGAACTTTGTGATAAAGTTTTGGTCTAAAATGTAGTTTAATCAATTTATTTTAATCCATTCGTGGTGGAGGGATACATAAAAGGTGTTATAAGGCCAAATAGTCCCCAAAGAAACCTTATTTCTACCAACTAACCATTATTTTACTATCATTAACTTTATGTACAAAACCTCAGAAGACACATCCAGGCTCACCAGTGGTTTTGAATGGAAAATAAACTCGATATATTTGCATTGTGGACATCAGAATATGAGTCAGTAACTTTAGAAACAAACCGTTTCACATTAAAACACTCTGGATATCTGAACCACTGAGTTTTTTTCTTTACTCTTATTAGTCCCACAACGGGGAAATTTCACCTCTGCATTTTAACCCAACCGTGCAGTGAAACCCCACATACACACTACTGAATGCACACACACTAGGGGTCAGTGAGAGCACTTGCCTGGGGCAGTGGGCAGCCCTATCCACGGCGCAGTTGGGGCTTATGTGCTCAGGGGCACTTGAGTCACGTACTGTTGGCTCAGGGGATCGAACGGGCGACCTTCCGTTCACAAGGCTTGTTCCCTAACCTCCAGCCCACGACTGCGCCACAATTTTGAAAAATCAGTGGAATTTCCCTTCAAGGCTGAATAGCCCCCAAAGAAAACAAAGATTAACATTTTTTCGAACCATCATCAACATTACATATAAAAACACAGAGGACACGTGTAGGTGCACTGGTGGTTTTGGACTGTAAATACAACGGCTGTATTTGTGTTGTAGTCGCTGTGATCCATGATTCCTATCACCACCACTGAAGGAACTGAAGAAATCTGAATCAGTAAGTTTCTCTACAATGAATCATCTTACATCAAACCACTCTGCATTACTCTGTGTACATCTCTACAACATAGGCAGAAATTTTGAAAAATCAGTGGAGTGTCCCTTTAAGTAACCACACTTTCTCCTGATGCTGTCTGTCTGTGTCCGCGCTGACTGACCTCCTCCCGGCCTGTAGAGAGCGCTGTATAGCGCTGATCAACTCCTCTGGTTCCCGGGTCTCGTTTTCACAGTAGCGGTGCGCCAGGATGCCATCGATTGAATACGACGAGTAAGTGTTTATTCCAGAAAACGCACAGATGGTCAGATAAACATGAAATTTAATAACACACAGTGCATTAATAACGCATATTCTTTGCAGCTCAAAGCCCAGCTGGGCCGACCAGGTTGAAGAGGAGGGAGATGAAGGTACGTGCCCGGCTCTGTTAGCGTTAGCATTAGCATTAGCTCACTATCCAGCGTGTCTGTGTCTGCAAGGCCACGAGGCCCGAGTAGACCTTAAAACACGTCATATAACTCTCTTAATGTTACATATATGCCTATATGTCATTTTAAACAGACCTGTCAGGTTAAATGGGACCGTTATCGCGCAACTAACCTACGCTGAACTTGCTGTCTTTAACGTTAGCCTGAAGGCTAGTAGCAGTAAGCAGCGTTAGCGAGCCAGCTGGACGTTACAGTAACTTAACTGTGGAAGACAGACAGCTTGTTTGACCCAGTCAGATAAAATGGCGGAATACAATACTTCATTAATTTATATTTTATACCCCGTTAGGTAATTTAACAGTAGGCTTAGCTATAGAATAGGATAGTTTGCCCTTTTTCTATGTCGAAGCCCCCTGCTAGCATTTTGAGACCAAAAGAATCATTCAGTCATTACTTATTCTCACTTTCTAATGATGTGTTTAGTTATTTAGTCATGTCTCAAACATGTTTGCACTCTGCCTTAATGGGCAGATAAAACAACAGTAAAGTTTGAGGATACTGGGTTGTGCACCTAAATATCTGTGTAGTCTGAGTTGTCCTCTTTCAGTATATCTAATGAAGTACATTGTTTTCTAAAGGCACTCTCCCATCACCAAAAGAGACTGTCAAAGGTAACATTAAGACCGTGACAGAGTACAAGATTGATGAGGATGGCAAGAAGTACAAGGTGAGAATTGGTATTTGTTTCTCAAAGCAGGATGTCGAGTCTCCTAAATTTAGAAATTCTCCCCACTCACTCACCTTCATGTTCTTCTGCCCATCTACAGATTGTCCGAACTTTCAAGATCGAGACGAGGAAAGCCTCCAAAGCAGTTGCTAGGAGAAAGGTATGATTGCTGTATGGTCTTTATATTCTGTGTCTTTCAGACTTGGTTGCATATGTTTTGTAATCAATAATAATTTATGTTTATGGTTGACTCTGTGTCTCTGTCTGATATCTGTGCAGAACTGGAAAAAATTTGGCAATTCCGAATTTGACCCGCCAGGACCTAATGTCGCCACCACCACCGTGAGCGATGATGTATTCATGACCTTCATCTCTAGTAAGGAGGTGAGTGAATCTTTTACATTGTTGGTAAAACAAATGATGAGCAGCATTGTTGCTCATGTTATACTTGTTGTTGTGTCTTTTTAAGTATTTGTTGCCTGTTGTTTTGGTGCATGCAACACTCCCATTCCCTGGATTTTGGTTCTCTCCCCATGCACCTTATGTTGTCTGTAGGATTGTACTCCAAATATTTCATTGTATTTGAATGTTCATAGTGTTCTTAATATATATACACTTGATTTGATGTGCTTTCTGGCACTAAAGGCTGCAGTGTTGCAGTTTTTGATGTTCTTAAATCAAGGTTGCCCAAACTGTGGCTCACGGGCTAAAGTTGGCCCATGAGGACCCTTTATTTGGCCTGCCAGAAAGTTACCTTAACTCCAAATGCCTCATCCCATTGATGGAACAAACATATTTAATACACAATACAATTTATACAGTTCTGGTTTGAATGCTTTATAAGACCATTAAGACTTTTCCCATGTTTTGCAGGACCTTAATGCGCAAGACCAAGAAGAGGATGCTATGAGCAAGCTGAAAGGCCAGAAAATTGTGTCTTGCCGTATCTGTAAAGGAGATCACTGGACCACCCGCTGCCCCTACAAAGACACTCTGGGCCCCATGCAGAAGGAGCTGGCAGAGCAGTTGGGTCTGTCCACAGGGGATAAAGAGAAAGCAGCAGGTGTGGTAACATGGTATTAAGTAACAAGGCTTATGCATAGAAGTGTGCTGGGACAACAGCTGCAGTAGTCCAAGGAGAAATAAGTATCGATTATACTCTGTAATTGATCAGCATTTAATTGAGTGATTATTTTTCCCCTTTTCCTGATATCTAGAGCCTGAGCCTGCTCAGCCAGTCCAGAACAAAACTGGGAAGTATGTTCCTCCCAGCCTGCGGGATGGAGGCACACGCAGAGGAGAATCCATGCAGCCGAACCGTAGAGGTGAACGCTCAGAACATGCACACAAAGGGAGATGGGACACTTAGACTTGGTGTATAACGTTGGCAAGCTATCATTTGCCAGAGGTGATGATTACTATTCTTTCTGCCCAGCTGATGACAATGCTACCATCCGTGTGACCAACCTATCCGAGGACACGAGGGAGACGGATCTGCAGGAGCTCTTCAGACCATTTGGCTCTATCTCCAGGATCTATCTGGCCAAGGACAAGAACACTGGCCAGTCTAAGGTAATTGTTAGGTAACATTGTTATTGGGATCCACCACTGCATTCTTATAAAAATTAAATTACTGTTGGTAGGAGCGCACAGGACATTAATCTGAGAGATGACACGTAAACAACACGAGTTAATCGGATCCCCAGCCCCCCTTCTGTATTATGAAGTATTTCTAAGTGAAACACAGTGGTAGAGGGAAGGGAAGGTAAAACATGTTATTGGTTAATGTTATTTTTCCCTGTGTGCCGAAGCATAATGACATAATTAAAACTCAGATGTTATTTTAGGGATGCAAAAAGTCTTTCCATTTTGATTAACACAAACAGCAGATGTGTTCGTGACAAAATAAGTAGTGGTGCCAGGATTTTGGGTGGGCGTGACACATTTGCAGTGGGACACACAGGAGCAGCATAATTCTAGTGATTTTCCTGCATTTATGCCTTCAGTGTTAATGATTTGGATAACTGTAGCTAATGTATTTATCTATTGCTGCGGGTGACTACTTTCAATCCTTAAATTTTTATTTCTAATACAGGACTCGATAAACTCAAACCTCTCAGAAACTGTAGTGCCAAGATTCAGTGCTGTAACTGGGCATTTGAGTGTGTTGGTGGTTTAGGAGGGGGTAGCTTAAGTTATTGTTATTAGTTAAAAGTGGGATTTTGATTGGTCGATGTCAAAAATGGAGTTCCGAACATGTCATATTTAGCAGGCACGTTTTCATTTGTTTCGGTTTATTTATTCATGAGACTTTAATAGTGCAAGTAAACCTGAGCACTTATAGCAACACCACTGGACAAAATCACACGACATAAACTGAAAAAATCTGTTATCGTAACAGTAGCTTCCAAATACAGTAAGTACAGCTCTGCAACAACTAGGCCAAGATCAAAATATTAAAGATTTTAATTGAAATATGTTTTAGAACTCAATATAATACAGTGTGCATTGGTGTATTTGCATTGGTCTCTCTGATGTTCACACTTAGCTCCATGTGCAGTGCGACAGAAGGGCTTGTGTTTTGATGGATATAAGATGCACGCCTATGCAGAGGCAGTGTGGACTGAAACACTGGAGACTACTCTGTCTCAAAAGATTTTGGTGTGAATTATTCTTTGGCCTGATATGCTCAACATCAAGTGTCATGCTCTTTGTTTTGCTCTCCAGGGTTTTGCCTTCATCAGCTTCCACAGGCGTGAGGACGCTGCCAGAGCTATCGCAGGAGTGTCAGGCTTTGGATACGATCACCTTATTCTCAATGTGGAATGGGCCAAGTAAGTTTTGCTGAAGAACGTATGTGTTTGTGCTCCTACATAACCAGTTGCACCATAATAACGTATGCTTTGTCTTTTCTAGACCATCCAACAACTGAGACTGGGGGGCTCCATTTATATTCCAGGAGGATGTCCGAGTGTTCTCCCAGTAGAATTTGACTATTGATTGAATAAACATGTTAAGAAATAAACCCGTTTGCTTCTAGGTTCAAATCTTTGTCTACTTCGTTTTTATTTAGTTGTTACTTTCCTCATTTTGCCTTGCATAATGGAAAACACCATACCACCAGATTAACGAGTGCTCTTGATAACCACATACTTAAGTCACTCCCACTTAGTGCTAGAGGAACTGACACTGAATCGTTTTGGGGAACCACAGCTGTCTGCCAGACGTCTGATACGTAAAGGAAACGTGGTGTGGTTAGTCAGTGCTGTTATGATTTATCAGTATTTATTGAAACCAGATATCATCACAAAGTGCTGCAACTGTTAGTACAGTATAGGTACTACAGTTAGTATAGAACAGATAGTACAGTAGGGTCCTGACGTCTGAGAAGACCAGTGAAAATGTTACCACTTTTCATTCTTTTCATGTTTTATACAAAAAAAGTGATTAAAATTATCAGCAAAAGAATTTGAATGTAAAGTAAAATCTTTGAAATTTTAATATGTATCTAGCTTTTAATGACACTGCACTCTGTCAGTGTGCTGGCATTAAAGTTTGTGTAAAAACCTGATTAGTAGATCACATCCACCCGAGAGTCTGAACATGAGCTTCAACAGAATGAATAAGACTCAAAAACAGGTAAAAATTTGAATGGTGACCTAGAAATAATTTATTTTTATTTTTTCTTAAATGCCATAGCTCATTTAAAATGTTCAAATGTTTTAAAATTTTGTTCATTTCCAGACTTTTGGACACCTCTGCCTTGTTGGTAGGTCATTGTGACACACGGTGAATATGGAGGCAGGACTGAGGTGCACTTAAAGGGGAGTTCCACAATTTTTTTGGCATAGTTCAATTGTTGAGATGTAAACAAAGTCATTCAGAGTGATTTGGGGTGAAATGCTCCATTCTAGAGAAACTTAAGAGTCAAAATTGTTCATAGTGGTGGTGATAGGAACCAGACGTCTTCTTATATGAAAAGGTAATGAATATGCTGCCTGAGACATTGTTTGACAATAATTTTGAGTAAATAAAATGGCTATAGTTGTGATGGAGACACTGCTACACCCGGTTCCTTTGACCATCACTGTAAAGAAATCAGAGTGCAAGTTTCTCTAAATGAAGCATTCGATATCAAAATGCTCTGAATGACTTTTTCATCTCAATGACTGAATTATTCTGAAATTTTTTAATCTTTCAGTACACACCATTTATGGCAAACTTCAGCATAGGACGTCCTGAAAGATGTGTCCACTATGAATTAAGGTCATCAAACAGATTGATTCCCAAACAAAGAAAGTTTATTTTTTTTAATATTTTTCTTCCAGTCTTTAAAAAACATTTAAAGCTTGATGAAGATTCAGTTTTAAAGGGAGAACAGGGGAGGTCAGTTTTACAGGATGGCGACATCTAGTGTTCAAAACACTTACCTTGTGAGTGGTGGGGGGAGGTAGGAAGTGGCCAGGCTCTTCATAAACTGACTCTGGTTACACCTCAGTTCTACACCAAACCCTGAAAATGAAAACCACAGGCTATATGTAGTCGATAGAGCCGGGGATGGGTGGATGGGGGGATGGGGGCGGGTAATTATTAAATAGCTCCAAGTGGCAATCTGTGGGGTCCAAGCACTACTTCGGAAGGAGTGCCCAATATTGCAATTATAGATCTACACCAATCAGGCATAACATCATGACCACCTCCTTGTTTCTAGGCTCATTGTCCATTTTATCAGCTCCACTTACTATATAGGTGCACTTTGTAGTTCTACAATTACAGACTGTAGTCCATCTGTTTCTCTGCATACTTTGTTAGCCCCCTTTTACCCTGTTCTTCAGTGGTCAGGACCCCCATGGACCCTCACAGAACAAGTACTATTTGAGTGGTGGATCATTCTCAGTACTGCAGTAACACTGACGTGGTGGTGTGTTTAGTGTGTGTTGTGCTGGAGTGGATCAGACACCGCAGTGCTGCTGGAGTTTTTAAACACTGTGTCCACTCACTGTCCACTCTGTTAGACACTCCTACCTTGTCAGTCCACCTTGTAGATGTAAAGTCAGAGACGATAGCTCATCTGCTGCTGCACAGTTTGTGTTGGTCATCCTCTAGTCCTCCATCAGTGGTCACAGGACGCTGCCCACAGGACGCTGTTGGCTGGATATTTTTGGTTGGTGGACTATTCTCAGTCCAGCAGTGACACTGAGGTGTTTAACTGAGACGCTGCTGTCGTCCCGCCGCTCGCACGCGATCACTCAGGTTTGTGGACGGTGGAGCGGAGGGATGTCAAATTGTCTCAGGGTGCTCCCGTATCTGTGTGCCCTTTGATTCTCTCCTTTTAGTTAAGCTGTTGTGGTCAGATCTGCCGGAGTCGTTAGCCACACTCTGGAAATGTTTTACATATTATTATACATACACCCATACAGAACTAAACTAACTCCATTTCCCTACCTTTCTTCCGAGAAAACGACTGCCCACCTGTCCGGCCGGACACTGCTGGATGATTGTCTGTAGAGCTCTCCGGCTACCCGCTTCAGACCAGTTGCCCACACCCCAGTCACCGCCACCTGCCTTGGACTGGCTGCCCACTCTACACTGAAGTGGACTCCTAACTATTACTACTACTATTAATATTAGTAGTATAATAATTTTGTAGGTAGTTTGACCGGAGGAGGATGGGTCCCCTCTTGTGAGTCTTGGTTCCTCCCAAAGTTTCTTCCTCAGCTCTGAGGGAGTTTTTCCTTGCCACTGTCGCCCCTGGTTTGCTCACCTGGAGGATTTACATTTCATGTTGAAACTTTGTCCTAAATGGATTTCTGTGAAGCTGCTTCGTGACATCATCAGTTGTAAAAAGCGCTATACAAATAAATTTGACTTGACCTAAAAACTCCAGCAGCACTGCTGTGTCTGATCCACTCAGACCAGTGCAACACACACTAAACACACCACCACGTCAGTGTTACTGCAGTACTGAGAATGATCCACCACCCAAATAGTACCTGCTCTGTGAGGGTCCTGACCACAGAAGAACAGGGTAAAAGGGGGCTAACAAAGTATGCAGAGAAACAGATGGACTACAGTCTGTAACTGTAGAACTACAAAGTGCACCTATATAGCAAGTGGAGCTGATAAAATGGACAATGAGCATAGAAACAAGGTGGTCATAATGTTATGCCTGATTGGTGTATGTCCACCAGTCTTTTCAGGCTGACTCAATATGTTGCAATGAGCAAGTTCTGCAAGTTTCATGGACAACAGGATCAAGATTTTCCCTTCTATGTACTGCTTAAGTGAAAACAATCAAAATAGCTGACAGCCTATTTACATACCATTAATGTTAATTCTGAAATTGCAGCAGTCCATGAAGGCAGATTTAGACCATGTTTATGCTTCTTCAGAGTATTATTCTGTATGTCTGAACCAAGTCTGGTCTGTATTTGTGTTTTAAAACTTGTGGCTGATGTCTCGAACTCCAACAAGTGGAAAGAGTGGCCAATTGTAAGCCAGTCAAATGCCTGCAGAATCCTGTTTTGCCAATGGTGGCTATGTTTTTTCAAAATGCTGTCAGCACCACAGAATTTGAGCCAGGACAGCACACAGTAGCAGAATGTGGACAAAAACAATCAATAACAATCAATATATGACTCCTAGGACAGATGTTTGTAAAGTTTTGCAACAGTTGATCAAAAGGTTTGAGGTAAAGCTGTATAGGATTTTTACAGTGCAAGTGCCACCCCTGTATTTGACTGGTATTTGGTGACTTAGGTTCCAAAACTCCAACATTTTTTGCAGAATTAAGCTCAATTTCATAGGATTCCTTGGCACCAGATTTGTGCAGATATATTGCCCCGAAAGCCTTACACTCTGCTACAGCGCCCCCTTTGGACTGACTGGGCTCACCCCATGTCTGAGTTCAGTCTGCATTTGTGAAGCATAACTAGCACTACAGTAGGATTAACAACCTACTGCCTGAAGCCATGGAACAATATCACCAGGTACCACAGTAGGCAAAACCAGGTATATTAAACACATGACATCCATAAGAGCTTTATTTGAAATATTACAACATATAAAAACTACATAGAATTTATTCCACTGTCTCAGAGTGGAGATTGCAAATACATGGTTAAAAATCACATTTAGAAATTGATAAAACATCACTTGAAATGGCACTGCACAAACCGTCCATAGAGACGCCATCTGAATAGCCAGGCTCGACAACAGCTTATGAGTTAATGGAATGGGCTGAATAGGCTGAGGTGAGAAATTCAATCTGCTGAGGAGTAGCTCTAGTCACAAACCTCCATCTTCTCCTGTTTCACAGGCTCTGGAAGAACAAGAAGAAAAAAAAATTTAATTAAAATGTTATTGACACAAAACCTTAAGGGACTTCAGTACTATAAGGATTGTAAGGCCTCACCTGTTGCATTCTCCCTCATCTTCTCGTGGGCACATTTCTTGATTTCAAGTCCAATGGCTTTAGCAAGGGGTGGAGGCACTGCATTCCCAACCTAGCAAAAGCAGACAAGCTGATTTATCAGGCAAAAGTAGCAGACTAGCTGGGTTCTCAAAGTTTTTAAACTATACCTATACTGTCTGTGTTACTACACTATACCTGTCTGTGTTTGTCCAAGATGTTGCCAAAGAAGCGGTACGTATCTGGGAAGCCTTGTGAGCGAGCGCATTCCCTAACGCTGACCACACGATGCTGCTCTGGGTGTAGCACACGTCCCTGGTAGGAGACATCATGACTTTAATTCCGCAATGCTGCTCCATCAATTGTATATACAATTTTATATTTTCTGTATGTAGCCTACATAAAAAGGACACAAACTGACTATACCACAACAATAGTAGCACAGGTGCAAGTGCCCAATGTGTTCAGTTACCTGCTTGCCCATAGGCTCAGGATTGGTAACAGTGGTGCTGAAGAAGCCATCCCACTCCAGCCTGCCGTACAGCCCTGCCCAGTGGTTGTGGCGGTTACCCGTGTGAGGCAGACACCACGGGATCAGAGTGTTGAACTGCCTGTCTGCAGGATCACAGGGCTTGCCTAATGTGACAGAATGAAAGGACCTAGGTTAGCAATGCAATTCAGTCTAAGTGAGAGTTCAATGAGGCCAACTAGACTCGTTACCGCACAAAGAAAGTACTAAAAAACATTGCTCAACATAACTTACCTCCAGCACAGGCACATACTCCCCTCAACGCGCCAGTGCCGCTGCGTCCATTCTTTTTGTCGGAGTGCGTGTAGCGAAGCTTCTTTGTGGTGGTCCCATCCGGCAGCCGCACCTCAATATTGGGCAGGTCTCTCCAGTCCGAGCCTGGGGCCAGAGGAATGTGACGCATACGGGCTGCCACCAAGGCACTCATGTCCTATAAAGAGCGCGAGATACATCGAGATACATCGAGATGCAAGTTTTAATAGCTGAATGAATAGCTTCAGTTTTACATTCTGGACACTGACCAACAACTTCTGTATGAAAAGCCTTACTTCAGCACACTGTCTTAAATATTCAGGCCAAATAACCATTTAAAAGATAATATTCTGAAGACTCAAACCACAAATCCTTAAGCTTATTCTTCACCAGGGGTACAAACTCATTAAAGATGAACTGCCAAACCAGACCTCTCAGCACCAGACTCACACCCAGGAGTCTGCATGGAGGTTAGCAGCATTTGATGTGGTGCAGTATATTACAAAGTAGCTTAATGACAACAAAGCCTCAGTAAGACAAACCTTGCAGATATGGTCCCTGAGAATGGGCTGGTATTGTGCACCGCGGATGTGCCTCTGGAACCAGGACTGTGGCTCCCCGTTGTAGGAGATCTCCAAAGCAGACGCTCCATTCCGGATCTCTGGGAGGTCAGACATAGTGTCCCGCACTGTAATGGTGCGGTAGATACCACCATTTCCTCTAAGGGAGGAAAATACACTTTAGCTTGTGACCTACAATATAACATCCACAGAGGCAAAGAGGAAGTAATCTACCAAGTCTAGATCTACTGAGGTTAGTTTGTGCTCAGTTACCGTGTGACGTTGGTGACATATTTCTTGTCATCCACCACAACGTTGAGGGAGCATGCTCGTGGAGCAAACACATGCAGTGGTTCGGGGTAGCGAGGGAGCTTCTCACCCGGAGCAGCAGCCAGGATAATTGCCCTGCGTCGTGTTTGGGCCACTCCATACTGCCCTGCCTACATGAGGAGCAAGGGTTAATGCCATGGACACAAACAGTAATATTAAAAGAGAGAAACGAGTATCTGAGAAACACACCTGCAGTACACCAAATGTGCACTGGTAGCCCATGCGGACCAGACAGCGTAGAGTGAGTTTTAAGACCATGGAGCGCTTAAAGGACACAAAGTTCCTGACGTTTTCCAGCAGGAAGAACTTCGGCCTGTAGTAGTCACAGTAACTGAAAAGAAAGATTTTCATATGAAAATGGCCCCACACCACCTGCTCAAGTTGCAGACAACCATTACATCATATTGCAAGCACATGATCCAGATGTACTGTCCTCACCTCAGATAAGAGACAACCAGGGAGTTCTTGAACTTGGAATAAGTGCGCGAGTTGAAGCGGTTCATTCCACTGAAACCTTGGCAAGGTGGCCCTCCACACAGCATCTCCACATCACCCTTCTGTGGGAGCTTCTGGCCAAGGGAGTTAGTCTTCTCTCCAGACATTACCAGCTTGAGCAGCACATTGCAGTCCTCTGTGAACACTGTGGTGCCAGGGTTATTCAGCCTGAAAGCCTGTGCAGCAGGATCCCACATCTCAATTGCCCAGTTGGTCTCAGAGATGCCTAAAAAGTAAAATTTAGTTTAATTTTAAAAGGAAGATGGATGGTCAGGATTAGAAAATGCAGTAGTCTAGTTTGAAAATAATCCCCTACCTGCTTGGTGGAAGCCTTCAGATAGACCACCACAGCCTGAGAACACATCAAGCGTGCGCAGCTTGGGGACCTTGAGCTCCTGAGGCTCTTGCTCCTGCGTGTCCTGTGAGGAAGCTTTCCCTTTTCCTTTACCTGCAAAAGATACAATGTTAAGCACCCAAACTACCTTTGCATAAAATCTGATAAACAATTCAATAAAACGGTAAAGTCTACACATTTTACCTTTTCCCTTGCCTTTTCCTTTGCCTTTGTTCACAACAGAACGAGCATGGTTTGGTGGGTCCTCAAAGCTTTTGGATTTGGCATTGTAGGCCTGGTGTAAGGACAAAAGCAGTCTCATTCATCTTTATGCAAACACAATCCTTTACCGAAGCTTTTTTTTTTTTCTGAGCAGGTATTCCAGTCTTACCTCTAGGAAGTAGAATCTATCAGGTCCACCACTGGAATACTCCTGCATGCTCTCCACCAGGTCCTCTCCATACTCCACTCGACACCGGCCCAGCACGTCTGCCATGCTCACAGTTACCTCCTCATCACTCCAGTAAAGTCGATTTATATCTGTGTGGTAGCCTGCCTTTGGTCCTTTGTGCGTGTTCTCGGGTCTGGAAACAATTATAAACTTAATCCCCACAGTGTGGAAGTCCTTCCTGGCAAAAACCACTAACTTAAGAGATTCAGATAGAAATACTGCAATAATTAGTAAAAGCCAGAGAAGTTATAGTAACCAGTCCACTGACAAGCAGCTTTTATTTATTAGCGACTGTGGCATGCGCCCGCCCCCCGGGCCCCGACGATGGCAGCCGCGAGAGCTGGCAGGAAGGCGGGGCCTGAACACCCAGCGGTGACGAACCTCAGCCAGGACGGTAGGGAGAGAGCCGCGAGTGTGAAGGGGGCGGAGTGCAAAGCCTGAGCTCCGCCAAGGGACGCCAGTCACGCGAGTGACGGCGGCAGGTGGAGGACGACGATGGTGCCGGCCACAAAAGGCACGAGCGAGTCCCGAGGTCCGCCACCCGAGCCCCACCCCCTGGTAAGCAGTGAGGCCGAGCTGCAAGCTGGGGGCGGTGACGGGGAGGCGGAGTGGCGAGCTCTCGTTCCCTCTCGGCTCGGGTGCTCAATGAGAGCCAGCTGATGCTGATCTGGCTGGCAGCGTGAGCGCCTTTTAAAAGAGCTGAGAGGGAACAGAGAGAGGGACGAGCAGCAGCAACAAGGACTGAAGAGCTGAAAAGCTTATTTAGGAGAAGGACTGAAAAGTCTGGCTGAAGCCACTGAAAAGTGGCCAGCATAGTGGATCTTTTGGTTAGGTTTTGCTTTGTGTGCATTAAAAGGGTGTGAATTAAAGTAATGGCTGCTGCAACCCTGAACCCTGCCTCCAGCCTCCTCCTTGAGCCCGGGGTAGCACATGCTGTGCTACAGCGACATACCTGTAGAGTTTGTAAATGCGCAGTTTGATCTCTGATGTGTCTGGTTTGCCATTGCTGCGCTTGTTGCAGAAGATCTCCTTGATACGGCCAACACGGAAAGGCTCTGGAGCATCCAGGTTGGAACCCTTGATGTAGTCTGAGGACTTCCTGTAGTATTCCGGATACAGATCCTCATCTACATCTTCCTTCCGGTGAGGACGCTTCACCGGGCTTGCAGCCTTTACTCTGGAATAAATGAAAGGACAAACGCACAAAGTAAAGAGATAGTTTGACTAGAAATATGAAAAGCAATTAAAAGTTGGCAGGCAGCTGAAGTAATGTGCATCACAGTATGATTTTATGTGCAACTTTAAGCCACATTACAGGCTGAATTAAACTACTGTTTACATAGCTGCAGCATGTACTGCTCTGACAATGAACCTTTTTTCAGAATGTTTAATTGGTACAATGCTTACCCAAAACTGAAAGCCTCAGGTGGGAGGTAGACACTATCCCCCACCTTGTACTGTTCTCCCTTCAGGCAGGCCAGAGAATAAAACACTTTAGAGTCACTCTCCTCATCCTCCAGAGGATCAAATACACGAGGCGTTTCCTGCTCCTGTTTCTCCTTATTCCTGGTGCAGCTGGCGCAAAACCTGCACAACATTCGTCAATCTGAGAAAAGGTCTCCTTTGTCTGTACAATGTTATTCACTGAAATGAGTTAATCATTGTCACAGAATCTAGTTCGACAAAGGTATAATACAAAACTCACTTGTACTTGCAATCTTCATCTGGCATGACTTTGGGTGGAGTTTCAAACCGAGCAAAATCACCATCGTACCACAGCTGATAAAAGAAGCTTTTACCGTCATCCTCAATGACCTTAATGTCATCATCCATGCCACCCTGAGAAGATAAAACATGTAGAACAGAAAAACTACATAAAGCCCTACAGAAACAGTTAAGCTGACCTACAGAAGTGAAAGCTGCAAAAAGAGTGTCAATTTGACTGCCTTTAATGATGTACAAACTACTACTGTGTTTGATTCATAGTACTTTCTTAAAACACTGAGACAAGAGATTGTGTGCAAATAATCCTCTTCACTACAAATAATGCACCAGCCTATCAGTACCTTATTTGTATTTCAGTAGGGAACCAACCAAAAGAAAGCACTAAGTGGCTCGAGAGCCAAAGGCCGCGCTCATAGGTGGAGTTTGGGGTCAAGTACTAAGTGCACTGTTCCCTCTACTGACTACACCAATGTGCATGTAAAATTAGAACAATTTCTGCACTGAATTGTCATGCACAAATTAGTGTTACTGGTATTACAAATACTTTTGTTAATGCAAATAAAACATTGTGTTTAAAGTTTACTCAAATTTACACACTCCAACCAGATGTGAGTTTGGTTGTAAAATGAGCATGAACATATTTCACCAATGATTTTCTTCATCAGCTTCATCTTTTGCTGCATCTGTACAATCAGATTTAACCATATTTGAGTATGTATTTAAGCAATAAGAGACGTGGGGTAAAAGGAATCGCACCTCCATGAACCAGTTTTCTGAGGGAGCCTTGTAAAGGACATTAACTTTGCCATGCACAAAGCTCAGCTGCATGTCCTCGCATTCGTCCACAAGGAAGAGCTCCAGTGGGTCCGAGGACTCGCCCAGAACTGTGTCCGTACCACGGCAGAACCAGTGTGCGTGAAACATTTTCTCACCATCATCCCACAAAGCTGTGATCCTGAACACCAAATAATTGGGGACCCACCAAGCAGGATTTTGAGAATTATACAAAACAAATAAATTAATAAAATATATTATAATCATTTATAAATAAGTTTAGACAATATACTTTGGGATCAAACAGCTAAAAATGTACTAAATTTCATGAAACCTGTATTAACTATTAGTTTTTCTACAAGGAATTGATGGCAACATTAAAATCACACACGGAATTTTAAAAAGCATAATCTGAAAGTTACCTTGCAAGGTAGAGTGGATGAGAGGGATCATCTGGGCTGACAGACACAAAGTCTCCAACTTCCAGCACCTCATTCTCTACACGGACCTTCATATAATAATCTCTTCTTCCTTCAGTCTGAAAGGTGGAAAGAAACCAATATAAAAAAGAATGCCAGCAGTGCTAATAAATGCTTGCACTGACCAATCCAATTAACATGGGCCAAACATGCTTATAGATAAAACATTTAAATACACTTGCATTTTTTTCTTCCATGAACTACAGTAGCTGCAACAGAAGTACATACATACCTTAATGGGCTCTCCCACCCATGTGATCTTATTCTTGGTCTGCTTCTTCTTAGCTTGAGATACTTTCTTTGTGTCTTTCAGAAGTGGCAAAACATCTTCCTCATCCATATTCTCATCATCTTCTGCTTCTTTCACAGCCATGTTGGGACATCTGCGTAAAATACAAGAAGCCCACTTAGGTTCCCGTTTCAAAATTTTGAACATGCCCTCACCCACTTTGACTCAGCACTCAGATGCCAGTCATATCTATTTCACATAAATGACCACGCACAGCAGAAGGGGTGAAGGCGACAGTGAGGGGCGAATTTAAATGTAACGCACCCATTGCGGTGTAGTACCTTTCTTTTTGTTCTTGTTAGCCATGCAGCTAATGAGCCAGCTAGCAGAGAAGTGGTGACTTATTAGCAGTTACGCATAACTGATGGACTAGTTTAACTTAAAGCCCAGCAAATTGAATGCTATGGTCTTAAAGATGTTAAGCATTTCAAAGTAGTTTATTGCTATAGCTGAAAGAGCTTTGTCCATCATTTCTCTGGGGTTTTAAAAGGAAAAATGAGTCAGGTTCTAATGATTTCTGGGTGAGTTCTGCTGCTGAAGTCGACACGGGTGTTCGCTCTATTCCTCTCCTCTCCGAGAGCTCATCTAAATCCCCTCACTTGAGCTAAAGGTCACGTAACAGCCCTTAAGATGGTGCTGGGGATTCCCCGGAGGGAAAGGAGTCCGCGAGGATGAGGGCTTGTTAAAACCAGGACTGAAACGGAGGTTATTTCTGTAATCTGGTTTTCAAATTAAAGGTAAAAATCCACATCCAAGTCAAAATTGTCTTCCTATACTTTCCTTCAGAGAGTTTATTTAATAGAATAAGGAAGGTGGGGGAATACCCACACACACACACCTACCCACCCTTACACAACAAAGTCTGGTGTTCATTATCATTATTCACACACCAAGCAAGCAGACTGCTCAAAACAAGATTAGAACATTGAGTTCTAGCACAATAAAAAAAAACGCTCCTAAAGGCCTTACAGAGCAAAGATTACATGTACCCAGATGAGCTTAGACTGGTTAAAAATAATAATAATAATAATAATAATAATACTAATAATAATAAGAAGGACTTTAAATCTCATTAAGAAGGTCAGAAAAGCTACTGTGACTTCATGTTGTACCTTTCCTAGCAATTTTTGCAATCAAACAACTTTCCAATAATAGATCAATACAGATAAATTTAAATAAACACTGAATAACAAAGAAAATGAGAAGAATCGAACCACATTTGTTTTAGAGGAGAGAAATACCCTGAGATCTTGGTTAAGGGCTCCGTTATACGGCTGTGTAATGGTCATAATAAAACAAAATGGCCTGTAAAAAACTAAACAATGAGTGCTTTTGTTAACGTTAAGTCTTGTTAAAGCATTCACACGTAGGTGGTCTGTTACAGAGCCCTGCATCATTTAGTGTGACTAAAACTGAGCATACCTCCTCTTCTGACAGGCCTGCTTACTGCGGCCACTGCCTCCAAATTTGATCATGTCTTTACAGGCAGAGCACTTGCCACAGTCTGGAGCTTGGCATACCTGGTGATACACAAAGTCACATCGTTATTACAGTGCACTAGAACACTAGATCAAAACTCGTAAAGATCCAACAATCTTTTTTAAATGAGTCTTAAAAACGCCCTTAGACCACGTTTTTCATTCTTGTGACATCACATTGGCAGTAGAGATGTACGCGTGCCCATAGATAGAGCCGAGTCACCAACTTTCTGCAGTCAATCGCTACAGACCTCCAAACTTCATGTGGCCTTCAGATTAGCTCAAGAACAGCGTAGAGAGCTTCATGGAATGGGTTTCCATGACCAAGCAGCTGCATCCAAGCCTTACATCACCAAGCACAATGCAGCGGTGTAAAGCGCCGCCACTGGACTCCAGAGCAGTGGAGATGTGTTCTCTGGAGTGACGAATCAAGCTTCTCTGTCTGACAATCCGATGGACGAGTCTGGGTTTGGCGGTTGCCAGGAGAATGGGTCTGACTGCATTGAGCCAAGTGTGAAATTTGGTGGAGAAGGAATTATGGTGTGGGGTTGTTTTTCAGGAGCTGGGCTGCTGACTGACGGGACATCCCATTGCCGAAGTTGGGCAAGCATTTAACATTCTTCAATCCACAAGCGTCACGTGTGGAGTAAGTCATAGAAGGCATTACCACCCACAGCGGACAGTGCAGTGGCTGCCCACGGGTGCTTCATGACTGACAGTCATCATCTGGCCAGAATTGCCCATGCAAACAGACAAGTAACTCCGGAAGAGATCACATCCACATTCAGTGATGCACATCCCGCAGGTCAGTGCAGTGTTCTTTAGCTTCCGTGGGATATGGGAGCAGAAGACCCACCAGAGTGCTGGGATCCATGGTTTCATGGGATCCCAGTTGTCAACAATGTATTGTGCAGGCTGGTGGTGGTTCCATACTGGTGTGGGGTGTGCTCTCATGGGTCGGGTCCACTGCTCCACCTAAAATCACTGACCGCTAAGTTTCATTGCTTGGTGACCACTTGTAGCCCTTCATGGACTTCATGTACCCCCACAGTGATGGGATATTCCAGCAGGATAATGCACTGTGCCACTGGGTTTAAGAGGCTGGAGAGTTCCTAAGTAATAATGTGGCCCAACACGAGCCCGATCAAGCATTTATTGGATGTGACTGAGGTCCATTCACACCAGAGATCCTGCAACTACAAATACCATGGACATGTGGGCGGCCATTTAAATGGCATGGTTTCCGTACACTTGTGGAATTGATGCCATGTCGAGTTGCTGCACTTTGCCAGAGGGGGTCCTACACGATACCAGTTCCCGTCCCATGGCTTTTGGCATGTCAGCGTTACATATTACATAATTGTAATATTTACATGCCAGACTCTGCCCCAGCTGAATATGAGCATGAGTGTACAGGACACATGTAGGACACAAGTCACTTGAGAAACTCCAATGTGAAACATCAACACCTTTTGTCATGCCAGAGAAGGTGCTTTGTGCTTGTGTACACATCAGATTCTCTCTATTCGATTCTGTTATTCGCATAATAAAAATACTTTGTGGTTAAATGGTTCTTATTACTAATCATTTAATAGTAAATACTACTTTTATAGTAAATAAACAAAAAAGGTTCTCACACACAAAATGTCAAGTAAATGTCAGCCAGTCAAGCTGAATGTTTTGTGACAGAGCACAAATTTCACCAGAATAAAATTTAAAAAGTGTGATTTGTACACAAAGACTTAAATGTAGTTAGGTTAGACAGAGTTAGTACTGGCCAATAAGGATCAGGTATCACAGGTATCGGTCCATCCCTAGTTGCAGGGATACATAAGGGAGTTTAACAAGGAGTCATTATGACTAGTTTAAACTAGTTCAAGCAGAGGAACACATTCTGAAAGGGGAAGCTTACCTCACAGACCCCACAACGCTGTCTTTTGACTCCACCTCCCTCTTTATTATTCTGATCAATCTGATCTGAGAAAAAGGTGTCAAAGATCTGGTACACCAGCTTAGTAGTGGTAGCTTTAGTTGGGCCCTTGACATCCTTCTCTATCTTTGTAGGATGACGAATGGCCTGTCTTCTGGCTGCTCTCCTGTAATCAGGGAAGGGAAAAACCCGCACATGAAGCACAAACACATCGGAACGACAAGATGAAATCACTACCAGTCAAGCCGAGATGGAACCATGCAGCTGATCATTATGGGAATAAAGGAGAGTCAATGAATGCAGAGCTCTTCAGGGCAGGGTGACGTAGGCTGTTTTTTACAAATGCCTGTGTGGTCGTGCGAATCTGAAGCCCAGTTCAAGTGAGTGCAGGCAGGCGCAAAACGGCCCATTTCAATTATCTGCGGCCCCCCTCCCCCTCCTTCTCAAGACTGGCTGTGTACAGTCAATAGAGGGCACTCTATTCCATGTTTACAATAGCTCAAGCACCAACACTGGACAACTAAGCTCAAACCATTTTTACAGTAAATCCCGTAGGTACAGTAAGAGCCATGGTTCACATGGTAGGGCTACATCACCCACCCCCAACAGCCACTGATGAAGCCTGGCATCAACAGAGCCCACTGCAGTTAGGCGTCAGTCAAGAAACACAATGAATACCACAAGCACTCCAGAGACGCAAATCAGGAGTTACCTACCAGTACAACAGCATGCTGCATTAGGGAACGCCAGAGGAGTATTAGACATGAACAGAGCACAAGCAGCAACACCAGCACAATTGGTTTAACAGTTACTCACCAGGTGTGACCCCAAAGTGAACACATTAATAACCGAACACTAAAGAGTCATACCTGACACACACACACACACAAAAGCCCAACCTGCCTAAACATGTATTTAAAATGGCCCTTTGCTAAACAAACATTTGGGTGAAAAAAAAAAAATGAAATTCATGTTTTAGCTTTTACTTAAGTAATTTATTTATTTTTTTAAACGACAACTTCTCATATCGAAGGGCTTACGGAGCCAAAAAAAAGTGATTGCTGCAGCTTATCTGGATGCAGTTGTTCACTCATGTTACATGTAGCAGGTATTTTCCCAGCATGGGGTCTTGTTGAGTGGCCAAGCAGTCTCCCATCATAGATGGGTCACAAAACTACACTACTAAAGAACACCTGATCTTGTATCTTGACACCAGTAAAACAGAACATCTACCCAACTATAATAGCCACTGTGGTCTCAAGTGATCCCTTTCAGCTGCACCAGAACCATGAGCTGACAGCTCATGGCACTGACCGAAGTCAAGCGCTATGCCCGTTATAGCAGTGAAACATCTCACCGAGTCCTGCTGTAGCACTCCAGGTCACCACACCTACCTCTTGCCTAGTGTTACTCCAGCCAGTTTGATCAGGTCTCTCATGCATGGAGTAACGATGATGGGCTGCTCGTCCGAATCTCCAGCCTCGTCATAGCTCTCCACCTGCTCCACCACAAACTGAGCATGGCGCAGCAGCGTGTCCTCAGTAAAACGATTGAAGTTCAGACCAGCAGGAGGCACCGTGGTCTGAGAACAGGCAAGGACCACAGTTAGACAGAATACAACACATCTATACACTATTTTCAGACTCTCTGTGGTCATCACAGAGGTTTAACTATCATTGCATTTACCTCAATTTTGTTAAGCAAATCCTCATATGTAACATCAGGATTCTTCTGAAGAAACTCCACCACGATCTTGCTCATGTAGATCTTCTCTTGCATCAGGGCAAAGATGGGTGAGTATTCCTCACTCGGCTCCATAAGGATGTAGTCAGCAAAGGCTGCAGAAAGCATGAGTCAGACGCAGTCAGTGTCAAAGGCCAAACAGATCGAATCACTTAAGTCAAGACGTAATTACAATGAGCACTACCTGTGGTGAAGCCAATCAGAGCTTTCTCTCCACCATCAAAACCAGTGATCCACCAGGCATTGATTGGTCCAAGCTTTTTAGCAGGGACTCCACCTAGAAATTACAAGAGCTTGTTTTGAGTGTTTTGTCTAGATTTGATAGAAATAGCACATTCTCTACTTCAGGAAGCTCTGAACATACCATCCATGCAAGGGTTGTCATCATAGATGGGCTTAACAGCACAGCTGAAGTACAATTCTACATTCTTTTCAATGAGTCCAGAGTCAAAAGGACACAGGTGGCCTCGCTTGTCATACACACTGACCAGATACAGGAAGAAAAACAAAATGAATGACTGGTCACAGCAAAGAAAGAAAGGGTGAAGAGAGCTGTGGGCAAGTCTCCGTCTCCAACCTGAAGTTTGTAATCTTGTGCTGAGGCAGGTCTTCATAGCTTTCAAATCCATCTTCATTTGAGTCAAACAAGGAAAGACGCTCATCGGTCAACATCTCTGGTTCATCGAGCTACCAAGAAAAAGAAAATGGGATTTGAGGAAATAAACAAAAAATAGACCTTTAAATTAATGGCAATAGCTTCAGTAATACCACTAAACCGAAATATTCATACCATGCTGAAAGTGGGGAAAGAAAAAGAAAGTTTCCACATTACCGCATCATCAGGATCTCCCTGGAAAAACTTCAGGTCAGAGTCATCCAGATACTGTCTGCAGTCAGGACACTTCGGAGGAGGTGTCTGAAATAGAGGGGGTAAAAAAGAAATTAAACCCCTGAGCCAGTGAAATTTACCAAAAAACAACCAGACAAGATGTGCTATGTTTAAAACTAAAAAACAAAGACAGAAAAAAGAAAGAGCATCACCTTAGCTGCGCTCACAGGCTTGGTCTTGTCAGTATTTGTGCTTTCAGTGTCCGGTCTGACAGACAAGACAGACACTTTGCATAAGAGTTACAGTACAAAGGCTGCCTTGCATATCAGAGAATGCATCATGAGACTTTAACACTTCAGATGACCATAAAACTGGGCTACAACTTACTTCTCATCAGACTCCGTTTTAAGACGTTTTTCTTCACGGACCTTGAGATTTTGTGTGAAAAAAATAATAATAAATTAATAAATAAGCAAGCAAGCAGCCAGGCTACATTTTGCATTTCCAATTTATAAAACAGGTATCAACATACAGTGATGCGGGAGTAGCTAAGTAGCATGATGCTTTTTGTAGTTAGCTAGAACCATTTAAGGTGGAACGGGGCAATTCGAAAGAGAAGCTGACTTCACCACTTAGTATCCAGAAACCAGCTGGAGTGATTACAAATGCAAGTAAGTCCATTCATCTCCAAATTATTGATGTTCGTCTTAAATCTGGGGACAGAATATTATGCCTCATTTTTTTTTAGATGAAATCTGATGTTCTCTGTGAGCGCTGTCACTGAAATATGGTCACAATCAAAATCTGCCAAGCGCCGCGTTATTTTCTCAACCCTCCTATCACCGCTTATTAATTATTGCTGTCCGCAATCACTTCAGTAACCAGCGCCTGTCATGTTCGTAACTAGCATTAGGATTCCGAGCACCTCAGAACTTTCTCAGGGTTTTATGAGATCCAAAACGCGATGAAACTACACAGCGAGCAGTGGGAGGTTCTCAGCTGACCTCAGTACAGCTGTGGCTCGGCCATAGACTGAACTGCCTACTGTCTCTGCACGAGACGCTACACAGCCCTGAGTACCAGAGTACCTTTGACTTCTTGGTGTTCAGGTATGCAGCACACAGGCTATAAGCTAACACAACATCGCTGTGGTAAAAATGTAGCTAGCTGAGAGTTCATGAGCACAATTAAGATTATAAAATGAAAACCCTATATTTCATTTTTTTGCTTGAACTGCTCGTAATGTGGCTAGCCAAATCAGCATGCTATAGTCCAGCTCTAGTTGATGCTCAGTTTAGGCTACAGGCTCCATAGTGGGCTACATTAGAGATCAGATGTGAAATTAAAGTTGTATTGTTTAACCTACTCATAACAGACCACAAGCAACATGAGAAAGTTCACTGTTAACCAACATATTGAAGGTATAGTATCATGTAGCAAACATTAAGAAATCAGCAGGTATGTTAGACTATATTTTGTCTCATTAACTATGAGTAGCTGCCTTTCCCTCTGGCCTTTGGTACAGACAGCCTTTTTATAACATGTTCAATGTGTGCTTTTACAATAATCAGTGAGTACAGAGATGCAAGAGAGACAAGCAAAGACAGAGGTAAATAAAATCAATTTGAAACTACTGCCTGATTTAATGTAGGTTTAATGTATTTTTTTTAGCTGAAAAACAAATAAATAGTTAAATGATCAATTAAATTTAAACAGGGCAATTAAAGTCAAATAAGTTTATGGAACATTAATAGCATTTTATGGAAGAATGGAGGAATGAAGAAGGAACAAATGAAAGAAAAAGGTGCATAACAGTTATAGATGGGTAAAAAAAAAAAAAGCAGGATTGAATTAAAAAAAACAAAGAAAAACTTGTTGCCGTAATACTCATATGGTAGTATTTTAATCACAATCAGATGCAAGTAACATTTCTGCAAAATGGACCTCACAAAAATTCTGATCCTAGTTACGGCCCTGTTAGCAGTTATACATTCACTCCAGAGTTTGAGACCATTTATTGTTAAAACTGTGTTGAATGATCAGCAGAGCTTTATTTGACTGCAAAGGAGGATTATTATTTTACCTAAAAATCTAGTTCTGCTGTGGAGCCGTAACAGGGCAGTAAAAGAGCCGTGTGTTGCTGACCCCTGCCTTAGCTAAAGTGGAAAAACATTTTTGTAAGACTTTTACTAATAGCACTCCACAGAGCCAGGGTCACTGATGAGAATTGAGGCTGAAGTGTTGCTGAAGTTTAACAAGGGACTCTGAATGTCCTGTCTGTACATAGTTAGGCTCAAAAATATTTGGACAGTAACACAATCTTCATGATTTGGGCTCTGCATGCCACCACATTCGATTTGAAATGAAACAACTGAGATGCAATTGAAGTGTAGACCAGTTTTAATTCAAGAGGTTGAACAAAAATATCATATGAAACATTTAGAAATTACAACCATTTTTCTACAAAGCCTCCTCATTTCAGGGGCTCAAAAGTAACTGGACAAACAAACTTTACCATAAATAAAACGTTCATTTTTAATACTTTGTTGAGAATCCTTTGCAGGCAACGACTGCCTTACGCCTGGAACCCATGGACATCAACAAATGCTGGGTTTCCTCCTTTGTAAAGCTTTGCCAGGCCTTACTGCTGTCTTCACTTAAGTTTTGTCTTAAGCAAGTGAAACGCATGCTCGATCGGGCTGAGATCTGGTGATTGAGAATATTCGACTTTGCCTTAAAAACTCCTGGGTTGCTTTCGCAGTATGTTTTGGGTCATTGTCCATCTGTACTGTGAAGCGACGTCCAATCAACCTTGCTACATTTGGTTGAATCTGAGCAGAACATATATCCCTGTACACTTCAGAATTCATCCGGCTGCTTCTGTCTTCTGTCACATCAAAAACTAGTGACCCAGTGCCATTGGAAGCCATGCATGTCCATGCCATCACACTGCCTCCACCATGTTTTACAGAGGACGTGGTGTGCTTTGGATCAAGAGCTGTTCCAAGCCTTCTCCATACTTTCTTCTTCCCATTGTTCTGGTACAGGTTGATCTTAGTTTCATCCGTCCAAAGAACACTGTTCCAGAACTGGGCTGGCTTCTTTAGATGTTTTTTGGCAAAGTCTAATCTGGCCTTACTATTTTTGAGGCTGATTAATGGTTCGCACCTTGTGGTGAACCCTCTGTATTTGCTCTTATGAAGTCTTCTCTTTATGGTAGACTTAGATACTGATTCACCTACTTCCTGGAGAGTGTTCTTCACTTGGGTGGATGTTGTGAAGGGGTTTTTCTTCACCACAGAAAGGATTCTGCGATCATACACCACTGTTGTCTTCCGTGGACTTCCAGGCCTTTTTGAGTTCCCAAGTTCACCAGTGCGCTCTTTTTTTCCCCCCAGAATGTACCAAACTGTTGATTTGGCCACTCCTAACAGTTCTGCAATCTCTCTGATGGATTTCTTCTTTTTTTTTTTTCAGCCTAATGATGGTCTGTTTCACTTCCATTGAGAGCTCCTTTGACCGCATGTTGTGGGTTCACAGCAACAGCTTCCAAATGCAAATGCCACATCTGGAACCAACTCCAGACCTTTTACCTGCTTAATTGATGATGCATTAACGAGGGAATAGCCCATGCAGCCCATGAAATAGCTTTTGAGATAACTGACCAATTACCTTTGGTCCCTTGAAAAAGAGGCAGCTACATATTAAAGAGCTGTAATTCCTAAACCCTTCCTCCAATTAGGATGTAAATACCCTCAAATTAAAGCTGAGAGTCTGCACTTTAAGCCCATGTTTATGGTTATACAACTGTATCTTGAATATGTTTTGGTAAACAGCTAAAATGCCAAAACTTGTCACTGTCCAAATATTTCTGGGCCTAACTGTCTTGCTGAAATGTTTAAATTGGAGCAGTTTTATATTTAACAGTTGACAGTGCTTTGCACAAAATTGGTTTGTATCTAGTTATTTTTGTTAGGAAAAACCTGGAATGACTGACTTTGCCTTTACTTAATCTACGTTTTTGTTGGATATCACACCTTTGGTTGTCTAAGTTTGATTGTTGGTTACACTTAAACTTACTTTTTGGTGATCTTTTTGTATATTTGCAGCATTTCGATTGTGTGTTTCTTTCTGGCACATGATTAAATGCAGTGTCTTGTTTACACTATCAGTTGGGCTTGTTTGGTGTGTCAAGTGGAGATTCAACATTGACAATCAAGCCTTCAAAGTAGCCACTACTTTTCAAAAAGTAGCTAAAAAGTAGCCACTACTTTTTCTGGAAAAGTAGCTAAATTGTAGCTCCAAATTTTGTGAAAGTAGCTACAAAGTAGCTAACTACAAATTTTTCAGTAGCTATCCCAACCCTGAACATACAAGACAACAGGCAAGTGCATGTGTACTTGCCTCTTCAACATCAGCTTCCTCAGTTTTATTTTCTGCACCTCCATTTGTGGTCTCTCCATTCACTTCATCAGACTTGCGCTTGGGCCTACAAAACAAGGTTTCAGACCCAGTTCACTTTGCATAAACCCACTGAACACCTGAAACAAACTCAAGATGTAAAAACACCATTTTAACAATAAATATAGGCAGAACTGAACAGCAGCCGTTTCAGTTAATTTTGTATTAATACAAACAACACCGAAAGGAGTTAACGTGTTCTTACACTCGTGAGAACATTGACAGGATGGTGGGCTGTTTCCCAGAGTTCCGTGTGACCCTGGAACTGGCAGGAGATTCTGTTGGGTTGATAAGGAGAACACCACGTTACATCCAATTTAAGTGAAACAGCATGATGAAACTTAAGACAAGTGCTTAAGCTCCAAAAGTAAAACTACTCTTCATTGCTTACTTTTGGGCTCGGAGTCTGCTTTGCTGCGTCGGCCACTCCTGCCCTTTGTGGCACTGGGGGACTTGATGGTATCCCCTTCCTCCTGAGTTTCCATGGCTCCTTCCTTTTCCCCATTACCCTCATGAGATCCATTTTCAGAGATGCCGTTTGAATGCCCATTCTGCTCTGCACAGTCACTCTGACTGTCTTTGCCCAAACCAAGAGCTTTCTTCAGCACGGCCTTAACCTCTGACGTGTAGACCTCCTTAAGTGAACAGCAGGGGTGAGAAACAGGTCCAATCAATCAATAGGACCCTCAAAGATCAAACCCCCTAAAACTGAAAGAACAGCACTTACAGAGGAAAGTTCAGAGTTCTTCAGCTTGGCTTCAAGGCTTCTGAGCTGGTCCTGAGTATCAGCCCGCAGGAAGTCCTGCAGTAACCTGAGCTTTTCCTTCACACATTCCTAGAACAGAAGACACACATAGCATTAACGTAAGGAGGATGTTGTTGGGCCATAGCAAGACATTATATCCTTAGGTGAAAACACAAATGTTAAGATATTAAGCATAACTTAATGCACTGAGCTTCAATTACCTCTTCTGACAAACTCTCGCCACCTGTTTCCAGCACCTGAAGTCTGGGGGATCAAAAAGTAGCACAATATCAAATCTCCATTCACTCATATTGCTAATGACCACAACCTTGAACCCGAAATCTGTTGCTCAACTGCTAATGGCAGTCATAAACAGCTATCAGCAATGAGAAGAAATGATTTCGCTTCCACGACAGCCTCAACAAGCATTTCAGACACTGTAGGCGTTTGTAGGAGTGAACACTGGCATTGCTAGCAACACGTGCCTTAAAGGGGAATCCCACCCATTTCCAAATTCAGCATAATTGAATGGTTAATGTGCAAACGAAGTCACTCAGAGTTGTATAGTGTGAATTGCTCCATGGTGATAGGAACCAGGCGTCTGAAGATTTTAGTGCCTCTAAAAGCTACATTAGCAAACTTAACAGCTAGTTGAAATAGTTAGGAACAAACTGCCTGGTGCAATAGGTTTAAGACAAGATTTTGACCTAAAACACATTTTTAAAAACGCTATTCATGCTGGAAAGGCACACGAAGCGTGTCCTAAAGCAAAAGAGCCCCCCCCAAAAAACGTATTTTACCCTCATCAACATTTCATACAAAAACTCAGAAGACACGTGTAGGCTCATTGGTGGTGTTTGCGACCCCTGGTTCCCATCACCACCACTGTAAAGAAATCAGAATCTGTAAGTTTCTATTCAATGAACCAGTTCACATCAATCCACTCTGAATGACTCTTTTTACATCTCAACGATTCAGGTTTACAGAGATTTGGAAAAATCGGTCCTCTTTAAGTTGAAAGAGAACAAACGATAAAAGTACGATTTGTGAGCTGACCAGAAAACGCACATCTTGTAGTTAATCCGGCTGCCTCGACTATAAATCTCTGAATGAGTCGACACACTCAGGGCGGTATCAGTAGCAGCCATTATTTGGCGCCAAATTCAGGCTGCTTGATGACAGCGGGCGAAATAAGCGAGACCAAAACAACGGAGTAGCTCGCTAGCCAGCTAGGTTAACTAGCTTCGCTGCTTTAGCACAGGCTGCCATTTGGCTGCAGTACTCTGCGAGAGAGCCACATCGCTCGCTTAGCTCTCCGCACACACTAAACGGCCTTTTTTACAGACAACTACTAGCGCTGGAACCGAGATACCACGCGAGCTCCTAACGCGACTCACATCAGTTTTAGCATCAGCGTTAGCTTAGCAACCACTTCCCCACACAACCCTACTTGAAAACCAAGTAAGATCACCGTACCGTTCCTTTACATCCTCTGGCAAAGACAATGAGGTTCTGGTAGGCATTTCAAGTGAGAATAAGAGCGGATAAAACAGCAAGTAAGAGTATAAGAACACAAAAAAAGCCCGCAGTTAAAAGCGATAAGGTTTAAAAAGCTCCAGCAGCAGTTTTTCGCCGCAAGAGGAGGTTTGTAAGCAGCTGTGAACAAGCGCGGGCAACTAGGGACACTTTATCACTTCAGAGAGGGGAATAGAGGAAAGTGGTCCCTTCACGTTAAAAAACAAGTGCGTTTACATTAAAGATTAATTAAAAAACTCACGACAAACTTGAAAAACGGACACAAATGTCTGGTAAATAATTAGAATAATAACAGTAAAATCTCTCGTTATTCACTTGTTAAATTGTATCACCCCTTTTCATCATAATGGAATCGGCCATTTTGCAGATCGGTACAGGAGGAGCAGATGACGCAGGGAGAAGGCGGAGCCAACAAAGGCTGGAAATCCTGCAGCCCACACAGGTTTATAAGGCACACCTGCAGTCGCTGCTGTCGGAAGAAAACCCAGTATCTCCGTTTGTTTTTCAGTTTTTGATATAATTAAAAAAAAATGCCTGTTGCCCTTTACACAGTGTGTGAATTTCATGATGAACGGGCCAAAGGAAACGGCCCAAAACGACGTGGAAAAAAAGTCTGGTTCCATTGAGTTACATTAAAAATAAAGTAGTTTTTTTCCTTTTCCTGTAAAGTTACCATTTTGGAGATACGAGGTTTTCTTGACAACAGCGTGTTATTTCTCTTATTTTGCAAGCCGAGAACTGTTTAATTCGCCCAAATAATAATAGTAATAATAATATCAAGTTTCTATTATTATTATTATTATTATTATATTAATTTATAGATAATCACTCATTGCAGCATCAACCTGGCTATCAATTATTATATTTTCACACACACTCACATGCAAAAGTCTGAACTAAAATATACCATAACTTTGCACAGGCTACATTTTATGTTCTTCCTCCCCAATATGTTGTATTCAGCAAATAAACAGTAATTGTGCATTGAAATGTGCTTTTGTGTTTTGTTTTTTTTTTTTGTTTGTTTTTTATTTTTTGTTTTTTAGTTATTTTTTAAAATGTAAAATCAACTCCTACAAAGTCTTTTATTTTGTCACTCTTGCTAACATTCTAGTTAAATGCTGCTCTGGAACCTCTGCAGTTGAAGTTTGTTGAATACTACATTGATACTACAATGGAACTGAATAAGAAATACATTCCTTCGCTCACAGACATGCCTGACTGGCCTATGAGAAAAAGCATTATGTGAAAATGCTCAGTATAAATTCACCATAACTGTACTTATACCAACTTCTATCACTAGTCTTATTAATCGACACTGTTATTTTATACACACAAAGTAGATGTAAATGTTATTAACAAAACACCAAAAGACATTTTAGAACCAGTTTTTGAGAACAACAAAAAGTTATTATCATAAAATGCATCTAGATGTATCTATTTCTAATGAATTTTATCAGGTTATCTCCTTCAGTGTTTGATGATCTCTTTTTAAATATAGGATATTTTAAATGTTAATTTATTGTAACTTCAATCTTGATGTTAGACAGCTTTCTTAGTCATTTTATAATCTGTTCATCATTCTGAACACATTTTTTTGCAGCTTCATACTGATTATCTTCAGCATCTTATTTGAATTGTTTTAGAAACTGATCTGCAACTGATTTGGTTTAATCATATTTACAACATTCCTTCCAAACTTTGAACTGTAGTGTAATTACATCAATAACAGCAAATTAGGTAAGTTACACATATCTGGGTATAGCTATGAAGCTGCTGTCCTTTACAATGTTGATAAATGTTGGTCTCATGAACGTCGATCACTGGTGTAGAATCCATTACGGGTGGATTTATCAGTGCTTGGTGTACATAAGAAAGTGTTAGTGCTTTGCTTGAAAATAATATTTTGTCTCTTTAAAATAGTTTGAGTGTCAGTCCATTTAGAAAATATGTATATGTACATAAATGTCTTCAAATATGAATATCCAGTGATTATATGTAGTTTATTCGACCCAAGTCAGCTATATAAATCATTTCAGGATTTGAGTAAATGTGCTCTGTTTTCTTAGGCAGAGATGTTTTAGTGTGGAAGAGCAACTTTTCACTTAAATATTATATTTTCCTTATTAAGACGCAGTTACGCAATATTTCCCCTCTGAATGGAGCTGTGAATAATCTATGATTACTCATCAGTTTGACAGAATTAGCAATTTTATATTATATTCATGTTTTTATTCACCAATGTTCTCACTACAATACCCAGCATGCCTTTTGCTAATACTTTGGGAATCCCTGTGGTGTCCACCAATCCTGCCTGCTAGCCTAGCTACTTATTAATAGGCTAATAAATACAACTAAGCTTGCCTTAGCACAACTCTTACCTCAGCCGTGGAACTAAACCATAAAGAAAGCAGAGGTTTTGTCTTTATTCAGCACAAAATGTAATATATTGACATGTTTATCTTTTCAGCCCAAGAAAAGGGGTCCAAACTGTTCTGCTAGTTCTCCTCCACAATTGACAAGCCATTTCTGTTGTTTGAAGTGTCCATTCTCCCTGTTGTAAATGATGATTTGAAGACTCTTAATGAAGTTATATGGTGAAAATAAGATATTTAGACTCCTAGCATTGTGTTAGCCATCTGTCTTCCTTGTATTCACCAGCTAAACGTTTCAAAAGAGCCAAAAATCAACCCTAAAGCGGTTGTAATTTTTCAAAAGTTCAAGATACACCATCAGAGCAGGGTTTTAAATCTTTAAATCGGAAAACCTTACGCTAGTGGCTACAACAGCATAGGATGGGATGTTTTCAACAGATGCAGTGATGGCTTAAGTCTTAATTTTGGCTGTGCTGCTTCAAAACAAAGTAATTGTTGCCATATGGCAACACAATGCGGTAAAAGGGCTAAGATCACATGTCTACATAACAGCCTTTCACCATCTCACGAATATGTCAAAGTTTCAAAATTCTTGTCACAACAAGAGCTAGAAAAACTAATTAATGCATTAATCTCCAGCAGACTGGACTAATGCTGTGACTGTTTTACTGGCCTTCCCAAGACCACCAGCTTCAGCTTATTCAATGTGCAGCCACTAGACTGCTTATGAGAGCTAAAAGCACATCCAATCCTGAAGTCACTGCACTGGCTATCAGTTAAGTACAGAATTGACTTTAAAGTGCTTCTAATTGTATATAAATTCCCTGATTGCTGATCTGCTTGAAGTATACAAACCTAATCGCCCTTCAGCATCACTCTGGGCTGGTCACAAACTCGTGGATGAGGTCAGATATGCTCTAAATGTAGCTATCTTTAAGTTCAGTTTAAAGATGTTCTTGTTTTGTTGTGCCTTTGTTTAGCATCACACATTATCTTTGCACTACAGTATTCCAATTTCTTTTATTCCCTTATTTTATTTTTTTATTACATTGCCTGTTATCTTCAGCACTGTCTTTTTCTTAAGTTTAACTATATTTGCAAAGCCTCTCTGAGGTATATATGTATATATATATATATATATATATATATATATATATATATATATATATATATATGTTTGATGTCATAAGTATTATGAAATAATAGTATTTAATGCTTTTATTTTTCTGTTTGTGTGACTTTGAATTGCTGCTGTGTATGAAAGGTGCTATGCAAATAAATTGCCTTGCCTTACATAGCTAGTGTATACAATTAACACGGTAACACTTTACTGTAGGGTACTGATCATAAGGCTTTATGACACCTCCCTAAGCTTGTCATGACTACTGACATAAACCTACATAAATGTTTATAAATGCTTATTGCAATAGGTGTATTTCGCTATAAAGGTTTAAATGCCAGTTTTGATCAAAGTTAGCTAAACAAGTCTTTATGACAGATGATGCGTATTGGAATAAGCATTTATAAACATTTATGTAGCGTTATGTCAGTTGTCATGACAAGCTTATGTAGGTGTCATGTGAACCGTGCCCTACAGTATGAACAGTGCCCTACAGTAAAGTGTTACCATTAACATTATATTTGTCAGTGGAATATATAGGTGAACATAAAATATAATTCAGTTAGCATTGTAGCAATCACATGTGATTAATATTACCTAATTATTTCAACGTTATTATGTAATTACGTTTAGTTACATAAAGGATTATTTGCTTTACATGGTTTGAGTCTGTATTTCTTATGTTTCTATATGTTGCAGAGTAAAATATGTCAAAAACATGGCAATAGATTTTTTTTTCTTTATGTGAAATAACCCCATCACACTCGAATCATAATAACATATCCCCTCATAAACACGACTGTGATATTGATTGAGTTTTGAATCTGCTTGAATTTCTTCGCTTGTTTCAATAAATATATAGTTACACACACAATAACTGCATCTTCTAAGTGTTAAGGCAAAGCTATCCTAACTATGACTATTATAGTTATATATACTATACTATACTATATTATAGTGTTTCTCCAGTAACTGTTTCATCACAAAGCACAAAGCCATTCCTTTGATACTGGAGAATGCAAGAAATCCAGCAGAGGGCACCACAGACACATTTTGCCTGTAGCTAACCACAAGATGGCACTCTTTGATGGTCAGAACGGTCTTCATAGAGGCACATTTGTTCACGTGGGTGGGGCAGGAGGTTATGGGAGAGTAGTATGAGATTTGTCAGAAATCTAGGTTGCCAGCCGAAGTTATATGAGCTTGCAGCTGTTATTCTGTGGTTTGTCGAGTGTGATGTCACTTCCTGTTGACAGATGTTGGCTCCTGCCCAGCAGCACGGTCTCCCAGGCCCCTGCTGCATGTTCCCACCCAGGAATTCTGGATGTCTGACAGCAACCAGGCCAGACTGTCTTCAAAAGCTTACTCACCCTTATTCCTCCGAGGTCCGGTCAGTCCTTCTGAGCCAAAAGCCCCTCCCGAGGTCTGGTGTCCAGAAGTTGTCTTGAGAAGAAAGCCTTTCCCATGATGCCAATGCCTTTTCATTGCCTTTCCACTACATCCAATCATAATCTTATGTTAACTCCAAACTGCTGCTCCAGAACTCTCCCACACGTCCTTGCGACTAGCAGAGCAAAACTGGACTGTCAATAATCAGAGCCAGTGGTTCTAGGCTGCATCATTTAGTCTTGTCTAGTCTTGTCTTAGCTGTGTTGGTGCATGTTTGATGAAACTTTGCCTATTATGTTTCCAGTTAAGTTTCTTTCAAATCAGGGGAAGTTCCCTACGATGCCTAAAAACACTTTTAGGGTTACTTTATAGTAACTGCTCTGTCACAAGGTTAATGTAAAATGGTATCAAAGGACTGTGAAAAAAGGTTCAACCAACATGTAACCAAAGGCCAACACACAAGGGTGGGTGATAAGCAGACAAGAACACTCAGGGCCTTCTGTGCCTTCAGTTGTTGTAGCCAGTATTGTGATACTACTCTAAAGTTTTTGATTGAAAACGAAAGGATTAAAAGGGGTTTCCACCCAACGGAAAATCATTTTAGGTAGATACAGTCATTGGTTAAGATTTCAGGAGCTGAACTGAAGGCCTAAAGCTTCAGATCAACCACATATAACTGACACCGACATTAATCACATTTTGATTTGAAAAGGGTGGGATCAATTTTGTGAGAAAAACATCACTCTGCACCAGAGGTCACCAAACTTGGTCCTGGAGCTCTAATTTCCTGTGGACTGTAGTTCAGACTACAATCTGCCACACCTGCTCCAGCTAATTAAGTCCCTGATTGGCTGGATCAGCCACAGTGGTGTTAGGTGAAGGGAGCAGCAGCATGTGAGATGCAGGTTGCAACTAAACTCTGCAGGAACACAGATCTCCAGGAGGCGAGTTGGTGACCAGTGTTCTAGGCCTTCTGGAAGTCCTAGATATGTTACTGACTGTGAGCACAAGCCTCACCAACACGTTTTAGAGACTTGTTAGAAATGGAAAACAGTGGCAGTTCTATGTCAGGGCTGTTTAATTACAAAGTCATTGTAATAATAATAATAATAATAATAATCTTAATTTATATAGGACTTTTCATGCCGGTGGCAGCTCAAAGTGCTTTACAGACAGGTGCTAAAACTTAACAGTAATATATAAAAAAATTATGAGTAATTTAAAATCACATAAAAACTGACACACATCAAACTAAAAGCTAAATACGTAGTTTTAATTAAACACAGTTAAAGAGGTACGTTTTTAAATGTATGTTAAAAGTAAGCACTGAGCTTGACTGTCTAATAAAAGGAGAATTAAGTTCCACAATTTAGAAGCATAAAAACTTCTTCTTCATTATTTTCTGTATTTTACAGAAGGTGTTTGCAGAAGGCCACTATCTGCAGATCTGAGATCACGTGTTGGAACATAAACAGACACTCTGTGATGTAAGTGCTGCTTTAAGGTCATTTAAAGCCTTAAAAACTAGTAGCAGAACTTTTAAATCTACCCTGAAAAATACAGGTAGCCAGTGCAGTTCTTTCAAAAAGGGAGTGTTTTTGTTAGGATCTGTGCTGCTACATTTTGTATGAGTAATAGAGGATGTACTGTTTTCTTAGGAAGCTCAGTAAAAAGAGCAACAATAATTAACTCTGCTTGTAAGAAATGCATCAACAAGTTTATCTGTAAAGCCTCTACACAGTATAGTGTATGTTAAGACTGTTACAAGCTTGAAATGTCAATGTTTAATCTAGAACAGTTGAAAAATGTGAATCATGGTCAGCGTAACGCTGTCATACTACTAGAATCCCATATGGGCGCTAACAGAAATTAGCATTATTGTTCAGGTTTTTTTTCCTAGTTTTTGACTGAGTTTTGGAATTCATGGCCCAAACTGAAAGCCTAGCTCTAAAAGTCACACTTCACCATGATACTTGACATTTTCACGTTACATGATATGTATAATATTATTTTGTTTTCCAGAGATGTGATAAGTTGGAACAGTTGGACAGGACCAGCAGTGACACATACAAAAATCTGATCAAAAACTGCATTTAATGTGATCGTTAAACGTTTAATGAACTGTGCTGAACAAAATCCAATTAAACAGGCCTAGTTATGCTGTCTTTAAAATGAAACACACTCTCGTACTGACGATATCTACAATGTGCTAAGAAAAGCATAATTTGATGTAATCTATTTTATAAAGATACTAGCCTATCACACTGCCCACCCCTACCAACACATTATCCTAAAAAAACTGTTGGACCAGCTGTTGCCAAAAGTTGTTACAAAAAGCAAAACATAATTTTTTTTGTATTTAATTTATTTTGTATAAAAGGAATGAACAAAACGTGTATGTACCAATATTAGTGTTGTACCGATTTAACACAGGTAGCTTGCTACTAGACACACAAGGCTATTGCACACAAGACAATTCATACATATACACATTTTACACATACAAACAATACATTACATAATTTCATATATGCATAATAAAAAACACATTTCATTTCCACAGGGTTAGGTAACATTTTTACACTGAATGGAAGCGACAGGTATGCTTGCAGACTTGACAAGTCTCCATAAAAAAATGAGTGAAGAAAGATGCTTAAGGATGGTTTTGGAAGAGCTGCCAAAGTGCTTTCTCTGATGATCAAGAGAAGAAAAGACTGCAGGATATTTTGGGACTAAAAAAATTGTGTTTGTGTGCCTGTCTGAGAGAAAAAGTGGTGTGCGAGAACAACGATGAAGGATGAGGTCAGTCCTGAACAACAGGACGTACCGTAGGAAACAGTGGACGTCCTGTGGCTGCAGGAAGTGGGAAGTTTTAGGCTTTCAGATGAGAGAATAATTAACCTCTAACCTATGACATGCACTCTCAGGAGCCCTATATTCTCCAAAGGTGTGTGCCTTTAGGGGCACAATGTGATGAGAGGTGACATATTTGTTTCTCCAAACATCACAATTTCTTGCCTTATCAAATGCCATGTCTGTCAATCAGTGAAAGGTGTCAGATGTGATTTGGTCATTTTTTAAGACTTACATACCATTCTTTTCTAGTCCCCTGACAGCTCAAGACAAAAATCAGTGTTCAGTAATACTGTCACAAGGCGAAGCTTTTGCTCCAAACACTTCATGCTTACATTCAGTTTCAGGAGAGCGCAAAACAGAAAGGACACGCCGCTGCAGCGATGCTACAGTGTTGTCGAGACAAGCCTAGCAGATTACTGGCAGCACAGTGAAACGTCAGTGCCATTTTCACTTTACAAATGTACTTTCTGGCTGTGCTTTCCTCTTATGAAATACAGTACAACAAGCAAAGGCCAGGCTGAGAAAGACAGAGAAAAAGGGTTAATTATGAAATTGTACATGAACAAGCCATACATTAGTTTTGTACACAGGTTAGAATGCCATGCAATATAATAAAACTGAATACTTTGCTTTTTACTGTAGTAAATCAAAGGGAATTACGCTTATATAATGGAATACGTAGGAAGGTTTTGCACTCATGCACTCATGGCTCAGGAGGAGAGCGCTGCGGAGTGTAATTTCTCACTCACTGCCAATGAATCAGGACTGCTGAATTACTCCAAAACCTACCATTCATGTGACTTTGGACCCAGTGACTAATAGGTCAGTCATATATACAATCACAGAAAGCTTAAAAGTGCATTACATTAAAGTTTGCTTTAAGACAAAAATCTCAATTTTTTTGCTGAGGCTAAAACAATTTTTTGGTCACTGCCAAAGGGCTGAAAATGGCATTGACTTGGCTCTATCTTTATGTGAACAATACAGTAAAAAAAACGCAAGTTTCTTACTGAAAGCAAATGTTGTAAAATAACGGCTTTAAAACAAGTGAAAAAATTCAGTGAGGGTCCTAAAAAAACAACAACACTGAGTACATACCACAACTGTTTGCTCTAAACTCACAAGTCCACAGATATTGATTATGAATTCACACAGGTCTGACTGATTCAGACTAAGTCAAAGCCGACATCTCTGGCGTCACTCTGTCGTCTTTCGTCTCTCACCTCCATTCTGGAGAGATTCTGAGGTGCACCTCAACTTCCTTTCAGTTGTACATCTGCTTGGAGACCTTGCTCAGAGTCTGAAAGGTCCTACGCTCAAACACAAGTGGTACAGTCCTGCATGATGGGTGTGGACTGGTGCTCATGTTTATTGGTGCAGTGGTCCAGAGAGCTGGAACTTTTGAGGGGCACCATGCAGCGGTCAGCTGGACGTCCGCAATTGAACAGCCCCCAGCAGCAGAGCACTCGCAGGAACTCTCTGCGCATGTCCTTACTGCGTAGCGTGTAGATGAGTGGGTTCAGTGCCGAGTTGAGCGTGGCGAAGCCAAAGAAGATACTGGCGTAGTTTAGGATGGGGCAGGAGGACATGTTGCAGGAGGTGTCCAGCAGGAGGATGGTGAAGGCTGGCAGCCAGCACAATATGAAGACGCCCAGCACAATGGTGACGGTCTTGAGAAGGGCATAAGCCTGAGTGTTAGTGGCCTCTTGGTGGCTGGAGCGCACAATCAGGTAGATGCGGACATACAGGATGACTATAGAGAGGAGGATGATGCTGAAGATACTGACAACAAAGCGGATATAGTGCCTGGAGTTGAGAGGCAGAACGGCGGAACACTCGCTCAAGTTGTTAATGCAGTTCCAGCCTATTATGGGCAGGCCGCCGAGGAGGATGGAGGTGACCCAGCACGTTCCGATCAGGAGAAACATGCGGCAGGTCTTGTTGGAGCCATAAACCTTCACTTTGGTAATGGCAATATAGCGCTCTATGGCAATCGCTAGCAGGCTAAACACAGATGCTGCCAATGCAATAAAAGCAGTGCCCTCTCTTATAAACCACTGCACGGGCACCAGCTCAAAAGTCCTTGGACCTGAGAGGGAAATGTTGGCAATGTAGGCCGAGCCGGCCAGCAGGTCAGAGAAAGCCAGATTCCCTATGAAAAAGAACATGGCGGAGTGGAACTTCTTGTTCCGGAACACTGCGATGAGAACCAGAAGGTTCTCCAGAATAATGATACTGCAGATGATGATGAAGATAATGTTCAGCGTGCTGGGCCCATCTCTTGCTGCCCTGCGTTCTTCCAGTTCCTTTTGGGTCAGGTTCTTGGCACACATGTAGTGCACTTGAATGAGGGTCTTGTTGTAGTACTGGGAGTACTTGCTCCTCATGCTGACATCAGGACACTGTAATGACTGCATGGTCACTTCGTGGCCCAATGTCAGCATGGCTATAGGCCTTTACCCCGCGGTCTGTCGGAGAAGGCCCGGGCCTGCAGAGCAGGGACTGGGGAGACGGCGCCAGGCCCAGAGTCACGTCTCAGTGGCCCAGGAAGTCCCTCTGGGTCGCCTGCACAAAAACACACAAGAACAACAGCATGGTCATGGACAGGGCAAATAAAATATATGGAAAAATAGGAACACGACAGGATAGGCCATGGTTCTGTTGTTCAGTGTGCACCTGAGTATGGGTAGCATGTTCAGATCTGTCAAAATGGAAAGATGCCCGGCCAAACGATATTCATTTGAAAATAACACTCAAGTCAATTCTCAAATTCCAACCCACTTTCACTTGTACTAGTATGTTATGCAAGGTTGTGATAGAGTTTCGTTTTTTTCTGTAGGCTTATGTTGGGGTTCAAAAATAGTTTTTGTGGAGCTCTGGAATTTCCCCTTTGAGCAAAAAGCTCACCATGCCAAAACTCTGGCTACAGAAAAAACTGCTTAAAAGCACAAAAAGAGACTACTTGGTACAATCAGATCTCTACACCCACACACAAGTTCTGGAGGTAGGAGAGGAAAGTAAGTCTTCAAGCTCACTGACTCACATATGATGTGGGCTGCAGTCCTTTGAAGGATGTGTAAAGTGTGAAAATACAGATGAAATACTACAAGTTTAAACAAGTGTTTCGTGTTTCAATCCCGACCATTTAAAGAAATGGAGATGAGTAATGGCAACCATAGTCATTTAGATCAGCCTGCTGATAGATTACGAGCTTTCCCCCTGGTCAAAAATCCCCATTCAGCTGGAAATGAGTACAGGCCCAAACAAAGCACAGGAAATGCTAGGAAAGAGGCTAATTCTGATTCTAAAACAGACTTTTAGCCTTCCCTCCACCAGACTTAATCTGTCAACATTCTCATTCTTTACCTCATTGTTTGCTGAAGCACCCCACTGCGCCATTGTTCACCTCTCACCTCTCTGCTGGTTTTGCTACTTAAATGCACCTTTTTTTTACAATAGAAAAACACTCACAGTGCTGCAAAACTGAAAACAACAGATGCTGACAATCAGCAATGCCACGGTCACGACATTTTACATGCCCGATCCATCCTTCAGCCAACAAAACAATGCTGTTATGTTCTATCTAAAGATCCACTACCTGTTATTTGGACAAATGCTGTCAGCAATAAAACTCCTCATAGGGTTAGCCTCTAGCATATGAATGTTAAGTTAAACAGAGTGAATATTACTTACTGAGATCAGAAGAACACCTAATAGTTTACTGCTCAAATTGCTGGATGCATTTTCTAAGAACCCCCCACCAACCCTCTTTTTTCTGTAATGAAAATAGTAAAAAGCTGACCACAAAAAAAGGAATACGCCCCTGCCTTTTATAGTCATTTATAGTAAAATTTATAGGAAGCCAGAATGAATCAGACTGAAAATAAGGGTTTCTTACTATTTGGACACCCAGTGGTGCACTAAATGATGCATTCGTAAGTCAATCTTGAGTCAGTGTTTCCGAGTCACGGTAGTAATTGCTGTACTGTCTGATCAGTGCAGTGACAGACGGCGCTAAACATCTGCCCATAAAAAAAGGGACATGAAACCATGTGTGTTTTTCATTGTTTCGTTCATTGCTGCTGTCAGTTCACCTCCCCCCACCTTTTCTCTTTCCTATAATGACACAGTGACACCTATCAACATCCATTTAATGTACTGTTTAAATTGGTGTATTTGATTTAAAGGGGCACCCCGGCCAGAAGGAAAACTTTAACCACTGCTATATCTGTTGTGCTTACTAGCCTCCTACAGTGGTGCTGCAATAGACTGAGATTTTCCAATTTAAATACTAGGTTAACCCCCTTCTGAAGATGCATGGTGTAGGGTGGGCTGTTTTGAATTTCCTTTTTAGCTGGTGGATATAAGGAAAGCCAGTATCACGGCTTCAAATCACCACTACAATGGAGAGAATGCAATACAGATGACAGAACTGACTCATCAGATGAGGAAGACAATTTTTTTTTGTTCGATGACGGACTGATGTAAGAGTTACATTAATGCTAGCTTGGTTGTATTTATTAGTCTATAGTTCAGTGACTAGGCTAGCAGTCTAGATTGGCTGACATCACACGGATTCCCAGTGGTACTGTAGTGAGGGAACACTGATTAACACACAACATAACAAATAGCATTAAACTCAGTTTTGGGCCAGAATGCTTGACTGATTACCAGTATTTAACATGTTATTTTAAAATGTTTTAATAGCTTTTAGATCATCTCAAGAATAGTTTATTAATGTGACCAGATGTTGTTTCATTTACTTTTATGGTGCAGAATGAACTACAACTGGAATCAAACAAGCATGACCTAAGAACTGATTTTTTCACATTTTTCCATGCAGCCACAGTATCATGATACTGCGCAGTCAGTGTTGGCCAAAGCCCAACAAAGCTTCTTCAGTGAGAGCAGCAGGCAGGACCTGAGCAGCACAGACGAGTCCGCCAAGCGGAATGGCATCTACAGACAAAGGCAGGAATCTGAGACATCTACATGACGCACATGCATGCAGACATACACATCAGCTCGCACGGCGACACCGGAGTGATTGCAGTTAGATGCACACAATTCAAACCCTGCCAAGGACTCTCAAACACGTACACACACTTAAATAAAGTAAACACACCGTGACACACGACTCAGGCACCGGCACATGGACAAAAAGGTGCAGCTGGACTCAGACGGTTCTGTCAAACATCTGCAGTCCAAAGCCAGTAATAACCAGCAGGCCATTTCCTCACGCAGGAACAAAGAACAATGGCCTCTTTCTCCATAGAGCAGCGCTCACTCTAAATACAGTCGCTCAGGAGGTAAACTGATCCATAATCACGCCAGGCGACACCCATCGAATTTTCGCCATTATGGTTTTTAAAGTATCAGGGTAAAAGCTAAGAGACGGTTTTGAAGCTTGCTTTGGCTGATGCTCAGTAATCTTGGAAGTGACATCATCTTAAACCTAGTCAATATATCTAATATTTGTTACTATGAGACTGTTGTAAGAATATGACAAGATTATTCAACTTATTTTTAGATGTCTTTTTTGCTTTTTTCAAGAATAAGCAAATACATTCTGCCAATAGAACGATGCACTTACACTCGTAAAATTACGTAAAACAAACAACACAATACAATGAAAAGTTAATTGTATATTATTCTTGCAACAAAAGTCATTAGACTTATTGACTAGATTTAAGATGATGGTACTTGCCAAGACATATATACAGATATTTTTTTTGCAGCGTGTGTGTTTTTGTTTTTGTACATATTGGCCTCACAAGCTCTTCTGTGACCTTTTATAAGGAGAAGTTTTGCACTCAGGTTCTGTCGCGTGCAGGTGAACTTTAACCAACAGTCCGCCAGGCAGCTCTTGTGACCTTAGCGTTACCGTGGAGACCGGGCTGTCTGTCAGGGCGAGCTTTTGACAGCGTGTGAAACCTGATGGGCTGGTTTGACTGCAGGACTGTCTCCAATCTCGACAGTAGACCCTAACCCTTGACCTACGACACACACACAAACACACACACACACACACAGCCAGTGACACACGCAAGGGGACATTCCCTTCTAATCTCACACACCCAAGACAGAGACTGTGTTTATAAACGCATGAACGGCTATACGGCACACTCTGCCAGACACATGCAAATGTGCGCTGCTCGTCAAAAGTTTGGGGACACCTTGCTTTCTTTTAAATAGTTTTCAGTGAAGTAAGAGGAAATACCTACAGGTTTTGTTAACCTAAAACAAAGAAGTGCTAATCCTTGGGATAAATTTAGCTTCAGCTCGCTACACGTTGATCAAAGTGGATTTCTTGGTGCGAAGAGCAGGTTTTGCCTAAATAATGATTGGACAGTTTTCTTTTTCAAACTCTTGCTAAAAGCACATTCTGAAACTAGGGATAAGGGCTGGACAATGTGGCAATATGTATTGTTATTGTGATAAATGCTCTTGTGATCATATTGTGAATATCGTCAGTACTTGGAAAAACACTTACCAATTGCCTGTTTGAGTGTAAAGAGGTCATAAATAGTCCTTTTTAATTGGATTTCGTGCAGCTTAATAATAATGAATAAAAATCATTGGTTTCATAGTTTCTGATGGTATATTTTAAATGTGGCACTACCTTGTTTCTTGTCAGATGTCAGAAAAAAATAAACATTGTGATGTATCATGTCTCATAAAAACTTCTTGAAGTACTGTGATAATACATATTATCCATATTGCCAACCTGTACTAGGGATGCAAGTTAATAACTGCTTTGAAAAAATATCAGCGTGAGACAGATTCTTAAGGCTGGTTTATACCTGACGCGTCGCGAAGGTCGCAAGGGTCCACGCAGCTAAAATTACATCACACATCCAGACACGCCCCTGCACGAACGCTCAACGCGTCTGTCGGTCGTCGGGTCGCACACTTGGATTTTCTAACTACGCGGCGGTGCAGACGCGGACGCCAAGCCAGAAAATGGAGACTTTTGAGGAGAGGCTGGTGGCAGAAATTAGGAAATACAGGCACCTTTATGACTCTTCCATGAAGGAACTCGTTCAAACTCTGAAGATGAGGTAAGTCAGTAGCTAGCTATTTTGAGTTTTGGAGCTAGCTTGGCTAACAGTTATAGAAACTGTTCAAATGTAACTTATGCTAATATAGCTAACTAGCTAGCTAGCTACCTAAATGAACGACAATGCCAATTCGGTATTTTTCACACAGGGCCACCTAGCGGATAGGAGAATATCGTCGTGCCTCTGCTACATGTCGCAAGTAGCATAAAACGCGTCTTTGTCGCGAGGTACGCGCGCCCCTTCTGTCATCGTTCGCGTGACACTAGATGCGGAAAGTATAATCCAGCCCTTAGATATTTCAAATACCGGCATCAAACAGATGTTTAGATATTTCAAACCGATATTTGATCACCTATTTACGTATCTGCACTGATACTGGCAGATGCGTTCATGGAACATTTCTGTCCTTCCATAACTGAAACTAAAATGTGGTTTAATCACCTGAAAGGTTTCAGTGCTGACATCACAGCAGTAGGAAACTATGTGTTGTGGGGCATCATTCAA